TTCTTTAACGAAGATTTTTAAGACCATAGGATTTCGATACAAAAAATGTAACAAACGCAAAATATTGATGGAAAGATTTGATATAGCGATGGCAAGGTATACTTTTTTACGGCAAGTGAAAGAAATCAAAAATTGGCAAAATGTTGTGTTCTTGGATGAAACATGGCTTAATGCTAACCACACTGTAGGCCATTCTTGGACCGATGACACAGCAGCATCTACGTCCAAAGTTCCTGTTGGAAAAGGATCGCGACTTATAATTTGTCACGCCGGAACCATCAACGGGTTTGTTGAAGGTTCTCTCATGGCTTTTGCGTCAAAAACCACTGGAGACTATCATGAACACATGAATGGAGAAAAGTTTACTGAATGGTTTACCTCAATGTTGTGTAGCCTCCCTGAACCATCTATTATAATTATGGACAACGCCCCATACCACTCGATGCAAATTGACAAGCCACCTGCCCAATCCCAAAAGAAAGCTGACATCGTCGCATGGCTTCGTAAAAATGGCGTAGATGCAAACATGAATATGTTAAAAGCGGATTAGTACGTCTTTTAAAAGAAAACAAACCAACCAAGATCCGATACGTCGTACTAAAGGAGACTGGGAAAAGGTTGTGAATAGAACTGTTAAATTAATAAGGGAAGATTATGAAAGAGATGTGAAAATAGATAATATTATAGAAAACGAACTTATAATTAATGTAGGTGATGATAGCAGTGACGACAGTGAAAATAGTAGTATGGACGAATCTGATTAAATATGGCCTTTTGTGGCACTTTTTTTGGTATCTTTTGTATTCATATGTTTCTTGTGTGCATATAAAGTATGTATATTCATTTTCATTCAAATATTCAGTTCGTTCAAATATATTAAATAAAAATTTACATTTTTGTTTTATTAAACCTATTTAATCAGGTACAAAAACAAAACTTATTTGTTTTTTGTTCGAGAATAAATTGACATTCCACATCACTATTGTAATATGTCAAAACGGCCATCATAGCGTGCCGCCAGTGTAGGTGAAAGAATTTTTTAAATCGGTCCATTTCGATTCGATGAAAATATTCAAACAAACAATCACATAGTTCCTCTTTATAATATTAGTATTATAGTCACAAGGATATTCCTTGGATATCTTTTTAAATAAAAAAAAAATATTATCTAGAATTCGATCGAGCTCATACAAAATCCATTCTGTCTTACAGCAGTGTTTTTTATGAGTTTTAATAACTTTTAAGATTAATCATAATGGTTTATACGAGTATTTGCCCCAACATCCGGTTACTGGAAGCTTAATGAAGGCTGGAAAATTGTATGAGCTAAATCGTTCTATATACTAACTTGCTTTCCGCCAGCGGCTTCGCTCGCGTAGTGCTGTATTATACATATAAATCTTCTTCTTTACAGAGAGCTGTATATTGATGGTATATTAATGAAAATCCCAGTAAAATCCGGTGTGTAGTTTGAAAGATCTCAGTGTATAGACATCGGGAAGCGGTTTTGTGTTATGTCGTACTATGTATGGATATAGATTATACACATATCCTTTTTTTTTAAAAGTCCATACTAAAGTAAACTCTGGCTGTGTTTCTAAATTTTCTTGGAAGGATAAAAAAGGGATGTAATAAAACAAAATAAAGTAACACGAGACACTTTTGGTAAATAGTTTATATTGTTTGATGTGTGACAAAGGTTTGCTTTTAGGATAACTCTAATGCAATTAGTGTGCGTTATACTTATCGTAGCTCATTTATTTATTAGAATGGTCGAATGCAAAAAAAATCTACTAATGCATTACGCGTGTGAATATATTGTATTTACTTGTTTCTGTAGCTATACTGAAATATAACTCAAATTAAAAAGAATCAGAATCAGGAATTTTAGATTTTTATTTTGTTATTTGCTAGACAATGCTTTAAGGAATCTTAAATGTACTCTAAGTCTATTTTTCATTTTAAATATTGTGTTGCAAGATATTTTCCATGGAAAATGTCCGCGTTCAATGGAAAGTGGAGTATATTTGGGAATTTAATAGTAATAGCTCTCGTTGAGTTTCTCACAGCAGCAAAATGTATAATGCATTATTCATACAGGGAACATTGTTATAGATTCAACATGCACTTCATATTTATATAACAATTTTGTTTTTCTAAAATGAAACCGACTTCTAATTTATTATTTATAGTATATTGTTGTTATATTTATGGATATTGTAATTTTTTATATAATAAGAAATACTAAAAATATTGAATCTAAACAAAAATATTCAACTTAGTAAAATTCTTAGGTGATTTTGTTTATCTGCTCGACATATTTTTTTCTTATAATCTATACTCATATTATAGTGAGGAAAGATTTCATTGTGTGTTTGTATGCATTGGATAGGCGTCAAAACTATTGGACCGATTATAAAAGTAGTTTCAAAAAGGTGAATTAACATATTCTCACTCAAACTGTTATATTTTATAGTGCTCAAATTAACACGGTCTTTTAGAATAGAATAGAAAATTCTTCATTGTTAACATTATACAATTTACATATACAAATTTTAAACAATTTTACAAAATTATCTAACAACTGGCGGACTTTCGCTTAACGCGATTACTACCAGGAAACCATTTCTTTAGTTTCAGAACTTAGAAATTATTTTTCGCACGGTTTACGTCTCCATTACGACGAAGTTCTGACTCTAGTTGGCAGTCGTTTTGCGGAATTGAAAAGAATAGTTCGCTAACTAAGCAATGCGAGTTGCGTTGTTTCTGGACCGCAAGTAGGCCAAGAGCTAAGGTACCTGTATTTTTAGAATCTCTTACTTTACTTATAACTATGGACTCTTTGAGGTTAACCTAATTATCCAATCTTAAAGAAAAAAATACATCGTATCTAATATTTTTCTATCTGACTTACAGATTAAATAGAATTTGTTTTTTTGTTTGTACCCATGCATCATCTCTATTGGATGTATGTATTACTATAATTTTGTATCGCCAGCTTGTAGCACTAGCTCAAGTAGTAAACAAGTTTTTACAAACGACAAAGTAGTGAGCGAAGTGTAAAGTAAGAGTGAGCTCAGTAGTAATTTAATATTTTTAGTCATATACTTAATTAAAAATTTGTAAATTTATCCAATACTAACCCTCAATTATTTCAGTTAATCCAGACTAATGTACGGTTGTCTGCAAGAAATTGCTTTTTAGCGATGCCACTTGTGTTGTAAATTTACGCTTGTATTCATGTTTTTCCATGTTGGTGTACAATAGTGTTCATTAATTCACTCGCTGCTGCATATTCGGATGTAAAAATAAAGATAATTATTCATTTAATCGTTCGATAATATTATCTTGTCTCTAAGACTTGCGGCTGAGGCGTTAAAGCTAACACCACACCTTATTGTAAAAGTTCGAGTCACATCGCAGTAGCAAATCTTGACAATTGACTCTATCTAAGCCACAAAGTAACGCTTTGAAATGAACATTAAAAGAGATTGTAGCAACTTTACATAACAACAAATCTAAAATTTCAATAACTTTATTAAATTTAAAATATCGTTATAAATTTTTGTTAAAATTCTGCAAAATATTATTTATGAAGAAGGCTGTACATAAAAAAACCATTGAAATAAACTGGTACAATGTATCCTATTACTATAAGTAGAAGGAATATTTGGGTCAACTTAGTAATATGTCAGCGTGGGCCCTTCATGATATCCCGGCAATATTGTTTTGTAATGATAAAATATTACTCGACGTCACGTGACAATATTGAATGGGCTAAATATTATCTTAACGTTAATATGAAAGAGAATTATCCGACTTTTATATAGAGATGAATTGTTCTTGCGGTATCGATAAATTCTTGTATTTGGTATAGATCTTATATTATATAGATTATATAACAATAACTTATTCAAACAAGGTACCACAGAGTCTATACATATATTAAAAATAAAAACGAACTGGTTAATGAAGACGCCCAATACATTTTTCAAGTGTATCCAAAATGCCATGTTAAAATGCTGAGAAGAAATTGATTTTTATCAAATAATTTTGTTTTGTTCATTTACAGATTGTGTGTACAATATAGTCTTTTATTCGTTCAATAGAATCTGTAGGAAAGTTTTCATTCCATGGTGACCGCTGCAAAGCTTTCACGTCTGTTCATCAAACCAGCTCGACGACAAGCGCAGCGCTGCCATAGCATAGTCCTTCAATAAACTATATTACCTTTATTACAATTTCAAGTAGGTTTTATTTAAGAGAACCTTTACGTTATGACAGCACTGACAACGAACATATACAATAATTTTAGACTTAGGCGTGCATGGTGGTGATTAATTTTATAGGCTTTTAAATATTTATCTTTACATTTATTATATTTGATTAATTTTGCATTCCCCTCAGTCAATTCGAGTCCCATCACAGAGTGCCAGGAATTTTTTTTCTTATTTCTTATCTTAGCTAAACTATATTTTTTGGAACAGACTAGCACTGTAGCTTTATTTTACAACACTCATCACTCAATGAGTGTAATAATTTATACTTGACCAACATAAGGATATGAACAGTTGTAGGGTCTGGATGTGAAACAGTCCCTGCTAGATCCCTGGCTTTTCCTCCAAAGGAAGGGGTGCACTTACTGCTATCTGCGTTTTGACTAGGCTTCGGTTGGGTCACACACCCACTGTTCAATAAAGAATGAACACAAATTCCTTTGCATAGATAAAATTTGATTTAAAAAGTTTTACCCTTTTGCCGGTCTTCTCGAACTTCTTGAATTTGAGAAAGGTGTGGGTTATAACCACAAATATTAAATAAATTGGGAGAGCCACGCTTCGGCATGAATGGGCTAGCTCGACCGGAGTGATACCACAGCCTTACAGAAAACCGACGTGAAGCAACGCTTGCGTTGTGTTTCGTCGTGTGAGTGAGGGTACTGGAGGCCCCACCCCTCCCTATTCCCTTCTCTCTACCCCTTAACCCTTCCCTCCCTATGATCATATTCGTCCCTCAAAGGCCGACAGCGCGCTTGTAGCCCCTCTGGTGTTGCAGGTGTCCATGGGCGACGATAATAACTTACTATCAGGTGATCCGTCTGCTCGTCTACCCCCTATCCCATAAAACAAAGTTGTCTTTAGGGCTAAATATTACCTAATTATAATTAAACAAATGTTACAAAGGTGTGTAAAATAAATTTTCTCTTATGTTCAATAGTGCGTTGTTTCATTTAATAAACTACCACTGTGAACCGAAGAAAAGAAACGACCTATGGATATCTAACATCGAGAGTCGTACACAACACCCACATGACACCCTCTGTCGTCTGTTAAGCGACAGGGACAGTGCATAATCCTGGGGAATAAAATAAAATATGTACTCTTAGTATTTTGATGAGAGGAGTTGATCAGATGTTGCTTAAAAATGATCGAGAAAAAGTACCATTAATAACTCAAATATCTGCAGAGCCACAAATATACATAATTATATTTTTAAATATACCGTGAAACTATTAACAAATGAGATAATCTCAAGTTATAGCAACCATTTGCGGGTTAGTTGGAAATTTTATGAGCCACCTGGGGGTAACTAGGAATATTGATTGAAGTTCCCAATATATGTTTCGCTGCTTAATTTCCCAGATGATAGTTTTACGGCCGGTCTAAAAATATTGGACTATAAACTGCTCCCAGTTCGGTAAAAGTTATCAAAACTTTTACATAAAATATGATTAAACTTATACTCCTTTAAATTGATAGTTAAGCCATACAGTATTTTTAATAAATATAAAAAATAGAAGTTCTGATTTATTATTAAATTTGATACTGCCTGAATATTAAAACTTGCAACAAGATTTTTAGTTGCAATGAGATAAGGTATTCTTTTGCGTGAATAACTAAATTGACACAAGTCTAAAGAGATCAGAAATCGTCATTTTTGTTCCCATATTTTGATTTTCCCATATATCTGTCAATTTCCCTGACTTATCTGTATATCTTTGCATTTTCGTACCAATTTTTGTCACTGAAAAGCCAATTTTTAGCTCAGAATTAGCCAGGCTAATTCCAATGGTTATAATACTAGCAAAGCGAGTATTTTGGTTAATAATAATCTTTTTAAATTGGTATTTTTCCAAACGTTCACAAGCCTTGGTCAGTTAATCTAGAAGATAATACGTGAGTGAGTGAATTCTTTTGTTTTTTATTTGACCGCTCCAGGCCTTTTGATAACTCCTAAACAAAAAATGCTTACAAGTAAAAAAAAATCTTGCTGTGTATTTATTTAGGCCAAAAATATCTTTCTCCGATCACCATTATTATCATCAGATAATGAAAAGTCAGAAAAAATAAATATGTACAAGGAAATAAACACATGACGCCCCTTGTAGCCTGTCGACCCGACATTACATGCCATGACCTTTTGGCCCCAGGGTAAATAAGCCTCTAGTTCAGACAAGAGACTCAATGGGACTTTGTTTACAAGCTTTTATATAGTTTCAGTTTATGTTAAATCAAATATTTGTTAGTTAAAGACCCTTTCCCGGTTTTCGATTGAATTAAAATTTCATTAACGATGCTATATTTCATATAAAATGGAGTTCATTTTGACAGACTGTCCAATTTGGCGTCGTTTGATTTTTCCTTACAATAGATATCTCTGGTATAAAAGCTATCTATACTTTCATGCAGATCTTCGCACGGTCCCTACTTATATTTCGTCTTCTTCATTTTCATTACTCTTATTATATTATAATGTTCGGTTTTTATGATTTCTGACATCACCTTCTAGCAGCATGCGATTGATTTGATCGTGAAAGGTAAAAGACAATATGCAGTAAAATATATATATTTACTTGTTAATATATATTTACACCCTTATTAATAAGAGATTTACAATCGTAGTTACACATAACTCGGTTCATGTCATCCTAATGTAACTTTCAGTTCGAGTGAAAAAGACAAAACTTATATATATATAACATAATATAACCACAGGAGATTATTTAAATGACTTACTCGATAGCCGACCATCAAATTGTTGACTACAAATTTTCTAATCCTTCTGTGTTTTTGTCCAATAGGCAAGTTTTGTGGTACTGTGGATTAACTCTCTCAACGAATTGTGATCATTGCTGTCCGTTAATATTTGAATATTTAGTTTCACGTTATAAGTACTTTTTAAAGTCGACAATATATGCCATCGGTTCATATTTCTACGGCGGGACACCTCGTACTGAAGAGATCCGTAGAAAAAGAAACATATTGACACATCGAGGAAGACACATAGTAGCACTAGCAACTTCACAGAATATTCACAAAACATAATTTTGGGACTGATTTAAAATAGAAGAGAGAAAATCAGAAAAAAGGGCTTGAAAATAATATCCTATTTTTTGCGTAAATATGTAAAAAAAATAGAGATTTGGCTACCAGGTAAATTCAAAGGAAACCACGGAAATACACCGTCACATATTTGTATTCTCATTGATGTCTTACATTTATTTTCGAAAGTTCTAAAAGTACGAGTATCAATTCATTTAAAACTGAGAATTTAGAAAATAAAAATGCCAAAAAAGATTTGCGTAGCATAGGTCATCAACAATATGGTAACAGGATAGTCTTACAATGTTCGACCAGCATATATTTATTTATTATAAAAATGCATAATTAAATATGTTTCCTTTTTAAATGGTGTTTATTACGTTTCTTTTCACGCAGTATCGATATATAGGAATAAAATTTACAAAGTAACACATTTCGATTAATAGGTGTAAGTAAATAGTTGAAATAGTTAAATAGTTGAATTAAAGATGGAACAGCGCCTTCCGGTCCGAACCCATCTGGATGAACTCGGGTAAAGAGACGACATTGTTCTATTAACAATCAGGAATTTTCAAGAAAAGGACACAATAGTGATTAAAAATCGAGCGATTGAAATAGTGTTCAAAATTGGGTTCAAGTAAAAAATGTCTAAATGCAATTTTAAATTACTCGAGACTAACATTAAATGAAGTAGGAAAAAGAACCTCGATGACGTAATAGTCAGTAAGCTCGATCTCCGATACGCAAGTTATAGGATGGATGACCAGCAAATATTGTATCTCGAGCTCCGTCGTGCTTCTGAGGGCACGTTAAGATATTAGTTTGAGCTGCGGCTACACCTACTAATCCGCATTTGGGCCCATATCCGTTCTTCCTATTTGATTCAAGTCGATTTTATCTACAGGGAAGCCCCAACAGTGGGGACGTTAATAAGCTGGTGATGATAATGAAAGTTTTATTTTGAAATTTTAAAATAGGTCCTCTATTTGACTGTTTTTTTGGTAAGCATGTGTGTCATAGTGCATGTATGCTAATAGTGGATCGATGTTGATAAATCATTTTTTATTAGTACCATCAGTTTGATAAAAATTTCATAAGGGTTGGATCAATAGTTTCTTTGTGAATCTGAAAAATCAGAAGTTATCATTTCATTTATCACTAAAACTACAACATAATTATATTGAAATTGTTTTATTTTTTTTAAGGAAATTGAAACCAATTTCAAAATATCGAAATATAATTCTCGATAACCACCAAGGTGGTTAACAGTAACAAACCTCATTTGAATCCGAGTGATTAAAAAAAGTATGGCCATCATATCCTCGTCCGATATAAAATCATTAATTTATGAATACAGCCTCTATTTTAGTTTCTTTCTTTTTATTTCAAATTGTCTCGACATAAATTCATGGTTATGAATTAATATAAGCACTCAAAGTTTACTGGTTATTATATTATTTGTGATGTTATTAAAAAAAAGACTAAAGAATAGATTCTTTTTAAGACCTTCCCTTACCTTTACCTTTGAGTGTAATAGGAAACACTCAAGAGTTATTAACTTGCGATGCCGGTCGAAAACCGGCAAGTTTCATAAATAATTGAACAGACAACTTTATGACTAACCCCAACTACCCCTTATCAGCAATAGGCGTGTAGAATCAACAGCGATATTTTCTCATTTCTATAATATTTTAAAACAATTTTATTATTCGACCGACCATTTAATTATGTAAAAGCTTGCGGTTCAGTTATGTTAAATGGTAATTTGAGATCATGTTGTTAACATTTATTCGTAACATTCTGAATTTTAAATAAGGGTTGCTTGAAGTATGTGTGATAGTAAAACTCCACCATTTTTATTTAGTAAAATACACTTTTTAGTAGTACAAATAAGGATTTTGAAAGTTCCTAAGGGTTTAATAGGAGCCTGAAAATCATAGTATATTTTTACTTATTATATAGCGTATATTATCCTGTTATCAAGCATATCGTAATCTCAAAGATTTGGACTATATACATTTATGAAGATGGATTATTGGAGAAAAAAAAAAACGCCCAAGAGCGAATTGGAATGAGAAATATTTATTTTATTCGATTTTTTAATATTTGTTGTTATAGCGGTAACAATAAGCAATACCTACATCATCTATGAACATTTTAACCGTCTAACTACCACGGTTCCTAAGATACAGCCTGGTGATAGATGGAAAAACAGCGAAGTCAAAGTAATAATAGGATTCCGTGATATCCTTGTGATATCCTACTGAAAATGCCAGTGGAATTTTTGCTCTACCTCAAAGAAAACTTTGTCATTCTGATCGATGAATTTTCGTATACTAAAGTGATTGAAGAATTTCAATAAAATAAGCAATGCGTTGACGAAGAATGTGCTGAAGGAGATGAACTGGAAATAAAAGTGTACCTTGTATATTCTGGGAGCGTGGATCGGGGCCGTAGTTAAAATTGATATTTATTATATCGTAAAATTATTCGACTTTGTCCTACTCTAAATTATGTATTATATTAAAATCGTTTTTTTTATATATTTTGCTTTTATTAACGATTACTGTCATTGTGATTAATAAGGAACCAGCAAAATTTAACGGAAACAAAGTCTATGATAGAGAGTAGGTTTTATTTAAATTTAATACTTGACCTTAGTTCTATTAATCGCTATCACAATTGCTATATATCGCTAAGCTTTGAAAAGGTTTGGGATATGTTTTAAAATCAGAGAAACAATAAAGGGCCTCTTTATTACAAGGGATAAAAATGCGGCAATTATTTCTCCGGGTTAACTAATTTGGAAAATCGAAATATACTCATGTATTAGAAATTAATTATGGAGATAAATATTGTTAATGTCTTTGTATGTACTTATCTAATACAACATGCTTTTAATGAGAACATTAATTATTCAAATTGAGCTCCTATTAAGCTTTGAATTTACCAACATAACCATTTCTGGTTTACGTTCTTAACGTTTCAAATGTGTGTTTCAAATGATCAAAGGGAATAGAAACAGTTTGAACAAGGAGGCATGTGAAATAAGTAGGAGGCGTTAACAAAGGATTACTCTAAATTTACCTATTGCACAAATTTAACATTTAATACTACCGCAGAAATACTACACACACTACTCATCTATGTAACGTTTTTGAACGGGCTCGAGCGATATGTATTATGTTATAGAGCTCAATGGCTCAGTTGGCGATTTCGTTTTGTGATATGGATTAAGCAACTTTAGCAAGGATCAGTCATAGGATGGGTAACCAAAAAAAAATATCATTTCGAGATGCTCTGTTTCGGAAGATATGTTCTCCCTATTCGATAACCATGATGATGATGTATGATCAATTTGATCATTATTGCATTAACAAGCTACTGGCATTTATTTTAAACGTCTCGGGGTGCCTGAGACTGGTGGATTTTTTAGTCATTTGTTTATAGATATTTATATTTTTCGATTCCATTTCAGACTGTGTGATCACCTTAACTCAGATGTAGGTCACTTTAAATCTATTAAAGTACCATAAGATACATTTTAACAATACTTATTGGACACTTATTTAATTTTATATTAACTACAAGCTGTTTTCTTGCGATCTTACTCGCGTAAATTACAGTTTTAGTAGGTGAAAGAAGTTTTAAAATCTCTCCAGTAGTTTCGGAGCTTATTTAATGCAAACAACGAAACAAACAAAGCTTTTCTCTTTATAATAGATGAACAATTATGACGTACATCTCTGTAATAGACCCTGTTATAATATTATTGCAAAAGGAAATCGATCATTTTATTTCATGATGATCTGAAACGTGAGATAGTAAACTTTTAACCAACTGTACAAGAATAATAAAACACGACGTCGTAGGTACACTTTAAACACTTTTATTCCAGATATTTCATACAAAAAATTCGATATAAATCGTAACTAAACACAAAATATCACAAAATAAAACAAATTAAAATAAAACAATAACAAAAATCAAATAAACAACAAAACAAAAACAAATAACTATTTTTGGGTTACTTATAAAACACGATATCAAGCTCGATGAGATTATTGGAATTTACTAATAATTATATAATATCAAAATTAAGCTCTTGACATGGTGATATAATTTTAGCGTGTAGCATAATTAATTAGTTTATTTATTTAGTATATCACAGGTGGGTGGTAAACACAGCGTGATTATATAATAAACAAAACTTTAAACTTATGATTATGTATAAATTCAAATTTTATTATTAATGGAACACTGAATATCATAAGATTATTGAAACTTTATGAAATACATAGTCAGTCTGTTTAATTAAGTGTTACAAATATTATTAAATTATTTTGCAATTTGATATGCATTTTATATGATTTAAATAATGTGCACAATATAGCAACAAAATAAACTTGTAATTAGTTCTGTAAGTAATACAAACATTTTTTTTTATATGAAAAGTTTCATTTTAATATTATGTGGTAACGTACAAAGTGATATTAATTATATTAGGCTATGCACTCACTGGTGATTATTTCTCATAGTGACTTATTGTTATTGTCACCATGCTTCTGTAATGTCATTTTTATGGAATTGTCAAGTGTTTAATCAAAATCATAAATAATTAAAAATTTGATTTTTACCATAATTGATACAGCTCGGTAGTTTATGCTAAGTGTACGCTACCACAAGAATTTTTTGATTAAGGATTCTCAAGCATGGTGACAGGAGATTAAAAGTCACGGTGATTAGAAGTTACCAGTGTGTGCGTAGCCTTAGAACACGTTTCAAAATACAAAACAAGAGAATGATTTAAAAAAAGTGTTGACATTCTTTCTCTATTTTCCTGAAAACACTTCAATACCTATTGCTTTATCGACGACATTACTAGATTCAATACAGTTTTGACGTTAACGCTCCGGGGGATTAAAGCTCTCACTATCGGTATCCAGAACATTGATTGCTAAAATGTTTTGGCCCTTAGAGACGAAGAGGATCTAGAATATTTTGAATTCAGTGTAAAATAAGGGTATTAGCGCGAATTTTTGTCTACATTTTGATAAATTTATCTAATTAATTGAATTATTTACTCGTACAAACTTTTTAGTTTTGATAATGAATATGTAATAATATTCGTCTAACTTTTGTATAAAAGGAATTTAGTAATTTGCTTGAACGACTACATTATTATTTTAATATTCGCAGGAACTACTTATGTTATTATTACCTACAAATGATACACATTCTCACACTTGTCTTGAGATCACATTATAAAAATTATACAGCCCAAATATCTGAAATTAATTCTTCTTGCTTTGCTCTCTTAAAATTTGATTTTCATTCATCGTAGACATTTTTATTATGTGTGTTCTCTAGCTAATCTACTTTTTAACGTTATAGACCAGTAGCGTTACCATGAGTTTACAATGACCGTACTCGCTAGCGACTGCGTAAATGATTTGTATGGAGAACTATACAGCGCTCCTAGCGGTCACTTGTTAAACTAAAGATTGCTAGTATGAGTCCTATAGTAAATTTACCTATCGAAAGCCAAACGCTAGCGACTAACGTTTTTTACTTTTCGTAGCTTATCCCATAGAACATCGGTACCATGAGTTACAAATTTGATAAACGTCATCGAGAAATACCGTAGCGACTGTAGTTAACTCTCTCACTTGCAAAACGTAGTGTGAAAACTTATAACTCTTTTTAGAGTATTGTTTAATAGATTATTTTCAGTTATTATTGACCCAAATGATGTCAACTAGGCATTATCTTGCGTGGAATATGTTATCATAAGCTGCATATGAAGACAAACGACGAGAACAGAGAAAATTTGAAGCGGATATGAGACATATTAGTGAGAATAATTTTATCAAAGAATATGGCTTAATAAGGAGTGTTTTGAACATTGGTGACTCTTCCGTGTGGTCCTTCAGTGGGTTTACTAAGGTCACCATTTCTGTTAAAACATTAAAAAGGGATACGTGATACGGATAACAACGAAAATAAATAAATGAATGTAACCGGGTTAGATCTGATAGCATTGGATTAGGTTGTATATTCTTACTATATTTAAAAAATTTCATAAACTGCGTCTATTTTAAAAGTTTTATGTTTGATAAATAACAAAAAACAATGTATTATATTATTAAAGTCCCGTGTTAAATTTACCTTAACCAAATAAAGAGCACTCAGCATTCCTTAACTTTATCTGAACACTTAAACAAATATTTCATCTAAAAAACTGGAGGACTACATTTTACTGTACAAAGTATATCCTACGTATTAAATAATATAATAGAAACGTATTGAAGTTCATTCCTTTCCATATACTCAACCAATAACTGTATTTGTGATACACTAGTCCGCATTTAATGTTTAGGTATTATACACAATTTACCAAAACAACCGCCAGTTAAGAAACAGAAATACTCAATGATTTGTCTCAACACGGAAATAACCGAATAAATTCAATAATCAGTTACACTTCGCGTTATGAGACTGATCAATGACGCTTAAAATGAGTAGGGTTTTATCTACATTTAAATTTGAAGATCTAAATAGCCAGTTTTTTTGCCCAAAGTCATCCTTTCTCACTCTATTCGGCATAAATAGAACGAGACAGTTTCATTTGGAGTGAAGTTAGGCGCAATACACGGTCACGTAACAAAAACTATTCGAATGTTCGAGTTAACGTTAGCGAGTATAGTAAATGTAAATGTGACTCATGGTACAACTTCTATCGAATACTATTCGAAGTGCGTTTATTCGCTATCGACTGCGGTAAAGTAATGAGAATTTACGATAGCAACTCATGGTAGCGCTACAGGACAAAACATTATGAAGCTCACGATACATCGAAAGTAGATATTATGAGTACGTATCCCTAGGTTCAATTCATCCATTTCAATGACTTCTAAATTATGATGTCCCAAAAGAAAACTTTTTTTCGTTAATACTCATGGGAAGACTTTATAGATGGAACATTTTGAAATTTGTGAATAACTAGACAGATGTTTTGGTACAGGCATTAATATCACCGATGCTCTTGACTCTTCTATGTCTCTTCTGTTTAATGCTAGAGTCGTCCACAGACTTAGCTGGAAGAGGAGAGCTGACTCGATGTGCGTGATCTGCCTTTTGTCCGTACCTTTACAAAAATGAATGTAAATTGAATTATGTTATTTATTATTTCGACTGTACACAATAAACAAGTGCTAGCAAATTTGTTCTTGAAGATTAAACTAAAAATAACTAAACATTGAAATTTTTTGTTTTCTTAAATATCGAAAAATATCTATGTGAACTATTCAATAACTGCCTCTTTATAATGCCTTAAGATATTTACTGTTTGTGAGTGATTTTATTTTTTCAAATACAGATATGTTGTATTGTATAGGGTGGCAATGACGGTTACACAACGTATATGGTAGATATTATTGCAGTTATATAAATCTAAACTAACCTGTGCGTAATCCCGACGCTCTCTTTAATATCATTTAGTCTCTGCATACTATCCCGTGTTGACACACTGGACTGGGAGTATAAACTCAAAGGTGTGTATATCGGTTCATACTCCTGCAGTGTAGGTGGCGGAGCATACGTCATACTCAATTGTGATAAAGTTCTGACAGCTATTGGTGGAGAATACGACATCTGATAATGCTGAGAGGTTAAACTGAGGACACTGGAACTCTCGCTAGAACTAGACGGTGATGTTCTATCATGTTTCGGCTTGAGTGCACCTAATGCTCTAGTAATTGATCCCTGAAAATTTTATTATGTTAATAATAAATGTTGTTAAAAACTATATATATAGAATAGAAGTCCCCCGGTGAGAAGTTCTATGATGTAGTCAGACAAGATCGATTGATATTTAAATATGTAAAACTATACACCACTATTGTGAAGTATTTGTTTATACTGCTATATATGGCAAAGTTACTAAAATTAGCATTGACAAAAAAACCACGAGAAGTAGCATTAATATACAAAACACGAATTCAAATAACATTCTTACCCTTAAACTATGTCTTCTAGAATCGGCACTTAGATCAATACCCGGCAAACCCGTAGCAACAGACCTTGAAAATGGTCTACCCAACATCCTAATTTGATGTCCGAACATATTCCTGAAAATACATTATATTGTGATAATTTTTAATAATTAGAGTACAAATTTGAGATTTTACGAAAGCCAGGCAGAGCGCGATTTGCTTGCATATTTATAACAATTAGATTATCTCAAATTTGCACTAGTTTTTTTTTAGTTGTCTGCTAACACGAAAAGCTGTCATGCAATTTCTTGTATTTATCTATTTTGACGATACATTATCGATTCCTGCAATTTTTTTTTTAAATTGATATTTTTTTTTGAAGAGAGACAGATTTAAGTAAATTAAGAACTGTATATGAATTTGCATAGACATCAAAAGCATGATGCACTTTTGCTGTATACGATACGAATCATGCGAATTATATACGAATTGTGGTGAAATCGATAAATAAAAAGACGTGGCCAAATATTCATGATCAGACAAAGAATAGTACTGTAACCATGAATTTGTGCCTTAAGCAAAAAATAATACCCTTAGATATCTTGCGATCATTGATACAGAACTAGCCTCCTACTAAAATAGAGGCGATAGCAGTACTTTTCTCTGTGAGCGGAATCGAAAACAATGAGAAGATAATGTACTCAAAATGTTGTAAACAAATCAGAAAAGCACGAAATGTCAATGTGATTGAAATCATCTAAAAATAAAAACCAATTTTATGGAAGGAGAAAAGAGTGGACAGAGCCTGGTTTAGGTGCGATCTAATGATGATGACAGAGAGGCATTCATGGTGTATCGAAAAAATGGTCGTTACCGTTCTGTCTCGATGAAAGGATCGCCAAGTTTAGGGGTGATGGATAATAAAGAAACTGACTCGATGTCCTTTGGGCTTTATATTTTATCAAGATTTATTCACATTTATATGTCAATTGATATTGTTACAGATGAACCTAATATACAATTTTCAACTTTACAATATTAATGTATACAAGTCAAAAACATAATTCATATTTTACAGTTAGTAAATACTATTATTGTTATAATCCCTAAAGCTATTGTGAGTGGTTCCGTTTTAGTATCTAAAGGTACGATTTCGTGAGATATTTGAAAATTTCTGATGCTATAATAATTTTTAAATTCATAAATTTGAAATGAATCCTTGTGATTAAATTGGGATATGAATCACCCCCTATATTAACAGGAAGCATTTAATGCTTTACGTAGATATATCAACTAAGTTGTATACACTTACTAAATCGATTGATCACGAATAAACATTGATATGACAAATCTATCCTACGGCAAGTTGGGATCTCTAGGGGGTTACGATGTATAACATTGACTCTAACATTGACGAAGGCGAAAGGAATAATAAAGATCACCGTGAATGTTTCCGATCGCTACACTTTTCGAGTTACTTTTACTTACAAACCATGGCGTCTACAATTACTTATCAGTCTTCACCGCTCGTAAAGTTTTCGATCAAAAAAGTTTCACAAACGAGCGAGTCATGACGGTAGATACCTAAAACTTCTCTTGCAAAGGAAAATTGTTTTTTTTTTTTTAATGTGTAAAAATAGCAACTTTACAAAAACATTTTGATACAGGAAATTTTACATAGATTACAGGTTGACGAGACTGGGCGTCGAAGCTAGATTTATTTTTTGAACGAGAGTTTTTTTGTTTTCGTCGATTTATCTTTGTTTTGTGGACAACATGGATGCTCGGGCAGCCTCCACTTGCAGTTCTTCCACCTGGCAAAATATCGTATACCTGCAGGATTGCACCTCATATTATAAATCAACTACAGGTTGCTCACCTAGAGGGACGTGACTCTTGACTACTATTCATGCAGTGTGCAAAGGAACTTTCATTTCAACTTTACGATCAATAGGGGTGTAGACATTTTTTTTATATATTTTTATTTTATAGATATACATGAAATATATCTAAAAAATATTATAAATATATAGTACCAGGTAATAGTACCAGAAAAAAAAATAATACTCGTATATATTTATTTTCGTTTACTGTCTACACCCGATTTGCAATCATATACTTTATCATTATTTACGATTTTAGAGGTAGGATAATACGTTATCACATCAGGCAGTGCTTTATCAAAATAACTGATTTGAGGTTTTAGCTTTTACCAATATACGAGGAAAACATAATATTAAAAGAAGATGTAATATTAATATATATGTATGCGTTTTTATTAATAATGAAATGGATATGGTTGATATGAAAATATTTTGTTTCCCTCTGATAAAAGAACGAGGTATATTATGAAGAATCACCTCGCTGGAATGATGAGCGCATCAAATTCCGCAACCAGATGCCTTCTTATTATACTTTTAGAGGGCGGTATGCCTAGAGCTGTTGCCATTGTCTCGCCGGTGAACGAAGGCTCTAGAACTACTAATCCGCCGTGTACACCGCTGTCTGATAACAGTAAATTGCATAATTAATACTTTCATACATTACTCTTAATAATTATGAGACTTTTGGTTAAAAATATTATATTGATATGTATGTGTTGCGTATGTTATGACGAGGTGACAGTAAAGTATTTATTGTACAAGTTTTATTGTATCCATTATATTAACAAAATTAAGCTTCGAAGTCCTATATGATAATATGCGAATGAATACTACTAAACTCTAATTCAATACGCAAACGCTATGAATTTAAATAAAAGACCTAAGTTATAAATAACTATTGTTATTTTGTACAGACATACGATAAATAAACTATCAAAATTACCTTTGAGGTTCTCAGCGAACTCCCCTAAATCGATATTGTGAGCCCACCGCATAAACCTTTGATTTGTCCAGACCAAAGGATCTGCGTCAACGTTTTCACACTGATGCCGGCGTACAGCTAAAGCCTAACAACAAACGAATAATAATATTTTTCTGAACTAAGCTCAGTTAACCTTTGTCCCTTCGTGATCTTTAGTCCCGGCTTTGTCCTTTTGACAATAATTTCTTTACGTATACAAAAATGTTTGGACTGATTTTGCAAGCTATTGTGTTTTCAATAATGTAAGTGGAAATGTTTTAGTTGTTAAGGTTTATTGATACTGTGAGTGTCAAGAATACCGAAGGAAAATTATATTTAGAATATATAGGATATAAATTAGTCGATTTTTAATAAAATTTGGTTGCAATTGTCCACTCTAATTTGAACGCTGAAAAGTGATAGTGTTTCAACTCACATAGACAATATTTTGAGAAAAATGGCGTTTAAAGATGTATTCATGATTTGTTTAATGATAAAATATGTTTTTTCCATACTTATTTAATTTTGCTAAATGTTGTCAGAATAATTTGCGAATCTCCGAAAGTAAATTTTTCGGGTTAATACATTTTTACTTATCAGCGTCCATTTATCAAGCCTAGACAAATGAAATGATAAATTAGATCAAAATGGGATAAGAAGGTTTTATACCCATTAACAACAATGAGTGTTGAGCCAGCGTAACTTCAACAATTTAAATATGCCAAATATTCATTAATATTTTGTTTCTTATACAGCTTACATCATTGTTATAATGGTATTATAACTTTATTTCTGCAGTTTTGTTCTGTGTAAAATACACATACGTAATAAACAGCGTTGTCACAGAATAAAAAGATAAATCAAATAAAACCTACTTTAAAGGTAATAAAGATTATATTTGATTTTACTTCTAATGCTGCAACTGTTCGACGTCGTATTTTAAATAGATTCGCAAAGTTGAACACAATGTGTTTGTATTTATATTATAACAAAAGTTAAAAGAAGCTCAACATAAATAACAAAAATACCTCACCTGTCTGTCATACTTCATTATTCTAAGCAAATGTATGCCATGTACAATGGACGCCTGGTGAAACTTTCTTGTAACACCGAGGTACTTTTCTAGCTCCTTTTTGCTGATCGTGTCCAACATCCGGGCATCCACTAAGTTGGCCAGGAATGACTCTGCGTACTGTTTCATTACATAAATTGATTGTCAATAGAAATGATTCCGGATTTTAGGAATACGTGGATATTCTAGGAACACATGGATAATTGCATAAGTATCCCTCATTTTATCGATATCGGTTTACAATTTCGGATGTATATATTTATGACATTTACGTAATTTGTAATTGTTTCCTTAAAATTTACCTGTGCCAATCCTAAGTCAGGTAGCCACTCCGCAGCGACCCAAGCATGTGTCAATTGGCCTATAGTCGGGTTCCGCACCAGGTCAGGCCTTCTGCGCTCCTCAATCGCCAGCCGCAGCTTCTTGCGGTGCATCGGCTGCGTGATACCGAGTCCCACTTCCAAATCCGCATCAGTCAACTCGAGCAGAACCTGCCCATTCAAAGCACGGATCTAGAACCAACCAGAACACAATATTTGACGCTACTATTGCGTCATATTTAATACTAACTTTTATTCACTGTAATGATGTGATTCTTTTTCTTTTCTTTTTTCTTAGTGTCCTTCGACATTTGAATTTATGATAACCTTCGTCTAATAATGTAGGGAGAACGCCTACGTGACATTTTGAAACGAGAAGAAACGTGAAGTGCTCTTATGAAAATTGAATTTATTTTTCCGCTATTTTTTTCTTTTACTTACTTAAATAAAGATATTTATACGAGTATGTTACTGATTTTGTTTACAGCATTTCTTTTAAATCGATATCTGTTTGAATTAAATCAAAAGTCATTATACAATATTGCAATCGTATTATGGAAACTTTAAGCGTTAATATAAGTAGTAGTAGTAAGAGCAGTGCCGGTTTTAGCACTATTGGCGCCCTGGGCGAATTTTTTTCGGCGCCCTCTAACTGCAATTCAATTACAATCAGTTACTACTACATACTACAAATCAATTACTTGTCTTTTTTTCGCCGACCCTGCCTACTTACTTGTAATTTTCCCTAAATTTAGGTAGATTGTTAAGTTGGCAGCATTAGAATGGAACGTAGTGTTCAATCGGTTTAATTTCTCGGGAATCCCCGACTTTCCGATCATACGGAAACAATGTGTTTTTCTATAATCGGGGATTCCCTAGATCTATCTCTTTTAATTTTTGACGAAGAAGAACACAATCAACATTTATCTTCTTGCTTGACATAAGTGGACGCTCTTAAAAAAATTATTCGATAATGATTTTTTTAAGAGCGTCCAATGTGTGTTTTCTATAATCGGGAATTCCCTAGATCTATCTCTTTTAATTTTTGACGAAGAAAAACACAATCAACTATTATCTTCTTGCTCGATATAAGTGGACGCTCTTAAAAAAATTATTCGATTATTTTAAAACAAACAAACACAGTAATCAAACGTTTAACGCTACGTTACGATGTTCTTGTTCCAACTATATAGTGACATTAGTTTTATTTAAAACGTAGACATATAAATAGCGTATAAGTAGCTGATTCATTTTTGACGGATCACATCATTAGGTAAGTACAGATTCAATTTTACCCTAACAGGGTGTCACATAATTGTTATCTATAACTTTGTGTAATTATTGTAACTTTGTGACAGTGAGTTTGCAGTGGGCCACTACTTATTATATTATCAATTATTTTGCTATTTCAAATAAGTGGACAAGTAGCTGGATCCGCTATATTCGGGACAACAGTATCAAAATCATCTAGTACATGTATTTGTTGTACATCAATAAAAGATTTATCCTGAGCAGCATCTGTAATCATAGCACAACTTGCTCCCTTACTTCGGGATTTTTCATCCACAATCTTTTGAGTAGCTATTCCATCTGACTTGCCAGACAGAGGTTCCACTGCCGATGCATTCGTTCGTATTGCAGCATTTTAGCTTCAGCTTAACGTTTAAACATGCTCAAACGAAAATTTTCTTAAATGACCGAGCGATAATGCCCACCAATTTACGTCATATTAACTTATAAAATACATATCTTCATATTGGTAATCGGTGTGTTGTTCTGTTTAACCATAATATATTTTTTGTTAAGTTTCCTTTCAATTCATGCTGAAAGTGAGGCAACTTGAAAATAAAAAAGAAAACTCAAGGTTCATGTTCTTTTTTCGCCGACCCAGTAGGCCTTGTTCAATGAGCAAGGGAACTATAAGAGGGCGTCTGTGGGAAATGAGGAAGTATAAGAAAAAAAAACATTAGTTCCCGAAATCAAACTAGATGTCGCTCCGGTATGTTCTTGATTTCTCCATGACAACCCTTCCAGTTTTCTTTCATGTTTAAAAGTAAATTAGTTTTCAAAACTCAATTAACAACTCATATTCTATTTGTACTTTTTCGTATTTATATTGATATCTAAGTTTCGAACTTTTCAAATTTCAGTTTTTTAATATGTTAGTTAAAATGAACGGAAATGACTGTCTTTGTTCCATTCGTTTCCTGCAAAAATCAACTTTTGCTAGAGTCGCCATCTAGGTGGAGGTATTTTTGTAGTGCTTTCGTTTTTTTTAAATACTTCCTCATTATACAGAATCAAAAAGAAGCGCCGGACGAAAAAGGGGCGCCGCGACCTGCGGCGCCCTTTTTTGTCCGGCGCCCCTGGGCGGTCGCCCAACCGCGCCCTACCCTAACGCCGCTACTGAGTAAGAGTTGTGTGAGCCTGCTGTGAATGCATCTAGGGGTTTTGCCTAGATGCATTGGATGCGCCAACATTGGATGAGTGAGCTTACTTTCGTCATGGAAAAAAGAAAGATGTAAGCCCTGGGAGGTGACACGGGAAGCGAGTAGATGATATTAAAATATGTATTTACAGAAATTATGTGCTGAAGTGGAAGCATATTTAGGCAGACATGAAACAAGCGATCTGCACCATAAAATTAAATTGATTACAAAGACGCTCTCATCGAAAACTTGGCTATTGAAAACTAACGAGGTGAACTTTTATATAGGCGCAATATACTGCCAGTCACTGTTCGAAGACCAGAATGCACAAAAGTATAACCCAACGAAGATGAAGATAAAAAAACGAGCTTTTTGGAGCCACTATCGATTATTTGAAAAGCGGTAAGGTCACAAGAAGGGATACCATCCCGATCGAAACCATTAAAGCATCGAGTGAATATGGTATGAAACCATTAAAGCATCGAGTGAATACATATTTTTTTTTACACAAAAGGGAACTTGGCCTTGGAAGTGGGTGCACATGGTCTTTGTTCCTTTACACAAGAAAGGGTCTACGAAAATAAGCAGCAACTATTGCTTGATTGCACTTATCTCACAAGCAAGCAAAATCTTACTGCATATACTTAACGAGAGACTACAATCTTTCTTCACAAAAGAAATTACACCTGAACAAGCTGACTTTGTAAAAGAAAAGGGTACCCGGGAACATATTCTTAGCGTACATCAAACCACAGAGAAGGCCAAGGTGTTTAACAAGCCTATCTACATTTGTTTTGTCGATTTTACAAAGGCGTTTGACTTCGTGAAATGGCCTGTACAATGGAATACTTTCCTGGCTATGGGAATGCCTAAAAACATGGTTCGACTGCTTAGAAGGCTTTACAAGGATGGAACAGCTTCAGACGATGTGCTGTCTGATCAGTTTCATCTAATAGCGGAAGTTCGTTCGGCCTGTAAATTTAACGCAGCAAGACGAATATGATGATTGTTGATCGCCCTAATAAAAACTCGCCAGAAATAGTTTATCTCAGTACACTCATAACAAACAATGATGGGTGTGCCGATGAAATCAAGCGGCGTATGGCTATTTCGAATAAGACTAAAAAAATAATGGAGAAACAGGATCATCACAAAGGCCACAAAAAAGAAACTTGTTCAGGCGTTAGTGTTTCCTATATTGAAGAACCATATTGAAGAACATATTGAAGAACTTGGATTGAAACAGCTTCTCGCTTTTTTGGTCATGTCATAAGGCGAGGGGATACATCTGTGGAGCGTCTTGTGATAAAGTAAAGGGCACTAGGATGCGTACTAAATCTATTTTGCGCTGAACCTCCCAAATAAGATCTGATCTAAACTGTCCACTCTACGAATGCATAAAGAAGGCAGCAGTGCAGGCGAAGGATCGTTCGAAGTGCCACCAACCCTGATGTGATGTCTGAATTGATTGTAAAATTAAACAATTTGATTCGTGAAACTGATGGTATCATTCTATCAAAAGTTTCGTGCCCAATATTAATGAGGCTACGAACGCGTGCCGATAAATCGCAGCTCAACGTGTTTTGAATAAACAAACGTTGCGATGAATTTATCTGGAAGCTTTGTATTGGGACTTAATTTCCATACAAATCTAATAAAATGAGCGTACTTCGTATAACGAATGGGCATGGGGGTAATGAAAATGGTTTTTTGTTCCATTCGTTTTAATGTTCAAAGATAAGCCGCATTGTTCTAAAAGGGGATCACAAAAATAAAATCTAAGGTATATGTGTCCATTTGTCTATGTAAACGATAATGGAATCGACGCATCTGAAATCTTATAGAGACCTTAGTAAATAAGGTTATTGTTTGAAATCACTCAGATAAAAATCTGTGCGTGATTCCAAAACGTGTTTTTACGGAACATTTATTTTAAGAGAACTTCGCATTTGTTTTCCACAACTGAAATGGAAAAAACATTTATCTAGATAAGATTGTCTTAAGACCAACAAATGTCTTTTAATAAAACAGAGTACTAATATTACTATTAACTATTGTGTGAACAAGTGAAAATACAAGTTTCTGTTATATGATCGGAAAATGTTAACCATTTTAACATCAATATTTAAAAAAATAATTTTTATGACATAAATTTGGAAAATATTACGCTTTGAAAACTTGAAGAAAGTAGGGAAAATTAAATTTGCTAAACTACATATGGCGTCCAATTAGTTACATAAAATATAAGAACTTTCATTAGAACAGCTTGAAAATAAATAAGAAAAATATTACAAATATTGCTCAAATGCCCATACGCTTCTCGCTACCGTAGCTCCGCGTGACGTCACTTACGGTCAGTTGCACAAACGTCCATTAAGGTTTAATGACGCGTTTAAACTAATGGTAATTTGAATGGACGTTTGTGCAACTGACTTAAATTTGTGAGTGTTTTTGGTCGACTACACAAATATAGCGCCGTATCTCCAAAACTATAAATCGCAGACATGTTACTTCTACATTATTTCTTAGATATTAATGGATTATTTATTTATAAAACAAAAAGAAATTAACTAGCCTATATATCTATCACAGTGTCTAAAATTTATGCTATCTTATTTTAGAAAAACATTTGAAGGAAACGCTTTTCAATGAAATGAGTTATTTTTAATTATTATATTTGATCAATTTTCCATTCACAACGCTTTACTGAAAAATGCTTAAAAACCTTTATCGAAAGTTTAAATATTTGTAAAAATATTTCTTTCAACTGTTTAGGTGGATTGCCTGAAAATTGATGAAAATACCCTCTGTAGTAGCGAAAAAGCAACAAGTGCTCAAAAAATGCGTCAGTCTTGTTAGCTCAGTGCTTAGAGCAGTCGGCCGGATTGCAAAAGGTCATGGGCTCGGGTCCTATCTCAGAGTGTCAGGGACAAAGTGGATTATTTAAGTATTTGATGTTATTTTTGTTAAAACTTTTATCATTAAGTGGTCTACTTACCTTTCCACTTTTTACATTATCAGCAACAGCAGCGGCGTACTGTGGCATGCCCAATGCTAACTCCAGCCAGGCTATGATGGCGGGCGCCCGCCACCGAGCGAGTGGTAGCGATGCTGCTTCTCTTAGCGCTGCCTCACTGCCGAGCGGAGACCACGCTCGTGCTGTACCCGTGCTCGCGTATACTGGTTCTGAACAACACAGTACTTTAAAAACAATACCAAGGGTGCTATTTACCCCATCACACAGAAGATCAATTTAAAACCCGTCACAATACCACACGGAAACAGGACGGAGGCCATCTACTATAACAATATGTTTGAATCAGATTTGTGCTTCAATGTGTTTTGTGGGTGAGCTAATTTGGAAACGAGGCGATTAGATATCTATATAATTTTTTCCATAAATATGGTCAATTTACTTTCTGGCGTGATTATAAGGAGTTTGGTTCTGCTTATAATCGAACCAGAAAGTATATTGATCATTTAAGTCAAACTTTATTTAATTATTTTTTAGCTTAAACTAAGTACCAATTAGTTCATCTAAAATACTTAAAGTTTAACAAACATATAGCTAGTTCGTTCGATGACAAATTCTTAGTTATATTATTGATGAGATAATATACAGATAACTTATTATAGACGTACCACTCTCATGCCCGCTTACGACAGCACTGCCAGACTTAGTGCGGTGTCTGCTGCGCGCAAATACTCTTGAGATGGACCCCCAGGCAGATCCACGTCCGCGGCCTCCCTTGCCGCCCCCCGCACGATTCCTTATGCCTCCCACTAAGGCCGCTTCACATTCCCCTGGACTTGACAGCTGCTCCACTGACCTGTTTAAGATTGTGTTTATTCTTTTTATGTATAACCTCCTCATCATTCTAACTGCTTAGGATGATTGATTAGCCATCTAATAAATATAATTTTAAAGAAAAATACCAAATATATTAATGGTTTCTTTTTTGGAAATATTTGCCTAAGGGCAGATTTTTCGCTTATTCAGCTTATAATTACGTGTTTTATATTTACTAATCACTGGCTTTTTTCCCGACTTTGCCCTTGTAAATTATAGCCAATGTCAGCCCTGTATTATGTAGCTTCCTGTAGCTGAAAGGTTTTTTTAAACCAAATTAATATTTTCAAAGATTACCCCACTACCATCAAACAAACAAAAAGTTAGAAAATTGACCTCTTCATAATTTATGATTTTTACAAAAAACAAACAACATATTTATTAGTAAACGTATTCATTAAATTAAAATATTTTCATGAAAAAGTTGTATTTTAGTGACTATGGTATTTAGCGAAACAATTTATGTTATTTATGTAGCAGATTTTTTTTTTACATGATGTAAAGGTTTTATTTGTATGACTTTATTTCTTGATCTTGGCACAATTTACACGCCTTGAATTGACGTTTTCCATGAACTGTTTAGGTAATTGATGCTTTAAAGCGCTTCGTATGCCACTATCTTTTGTGGCAGTAGAGCATATAAAATGAGCCCTAGGTTTTGAATAACTACGCAACGAAATGCATAACATTTGCTATGAAAGGTTAATGGCAAATTGGCCATGTCAGGTTCAGTAGATTAGAAATCTCTAAAATAATAATCAGATTTCATTTTCCCTAAGTTCAAAAACCTCAATAAAACATAATCTGCAAACATTAAAACAAGAGATGAGGGTAATAGTAAAAAATCACAATCGCATTATTGAAACGAATAAATACCCTCAAAAGCCACGGGGACACCGGTGTCCCTTTATGTTTATAATCAGATATCATATACAATATAAAAAAGTTTTATCAGTGTACAAAATAAAAAACAAATAATTACCAGGTAATAAATATTTCAGAATATAATATGTAGAGAACAACTCTTTCAAAATCTCCGATCAATAATACAACTAATAACGCCTAGCATACTAAAATAATATTCAAAAACCTTCATTCTTCTTCTTCTTTTTTAATTAATGGCTTATCTGCGCATTTCACGCAATTCTGCCAATGTCAAGTAAATTAATTAATTTTTACATGTAAAATGAAAATGAGATGAATGAAAGATGGCGATGATCGACCACCTTCATTCAAAATCCAAGTAATCTGCATGTGACAAACTGTCAATTTTTAATTGCCATAAACAAAGACTGGCAATTTGAATGCTGTATTGGCTATGATAACATAATAAACTAGTACATTCAGAAACTAATTAAAGCTAAAATTACACTTACCACTTTCTTAATTATTGACTTTTTTTGTTGTCCCAAACAAAACGGGGATGATGCCACGTGAAAAAATGGGTAAGGGTTAACTCTGTTTACTTGTGTTATATCATTGTCAGTATTTTGTTTGAAGTGTATATTTTGTCCTTCCAATTTTGTAACTACTTACAATTTTAAATAGATTCGATTTTTAAAAAACTAATACAATTTTTATAGATTGTTTTCGCTAAGTCTGGTTGAAAAAATAATGGTTAAATTTAGATAAAATGTACTATTCACGTATACTATTCAACCATTAATAATAATAAAACAATGTAAGACGATGAATAAATAAACTAGACCAACGAAAGTAAAACAAAAGGGAAGAGGATAATTTCTTCGAAAAACTGAACGCCCATTATATTTCAAGATTGTACAGAAAAAGAAAAACAATTACGAATCACTTTTCAGAAACATTAATTGCTATTCCGTGGTAATAATACAAATTGACGACAGAGCATTACTTTTCATGAGGCATTAATTTCTGATGGGTATAATAATATAATATTTGAATTACCCAGCCGAATCTAATTTTCAGGTTTATCATCATCCTCTAAGATAATGGACTGTGTGATTAAGTTATTGTACGTCAGCTTTGAACGTTGGGGTGCAATTAATTGGTGTTCCTTTTGACAGCTACAGTTCATCTTTTATTTTTGATTGATTGACTAGTGGATGCTATCCGTAATTTTCTACCATAACAATAAACATATAACAATTGTTTTTTTCTGCCAAAACTTATAATAACCCAAAGCTTAAGCTACAAGTGTGATTGATTTGTTTTTCCAAACAATTTTTTTCTTGTAGTTCTCGTTATAAAATTTAACTTTCTAATTATTATATTTGATCAAATTCACTTTCAACTGTTTGGGTTTGCCTGAACATTGATGAAAATACATTGCGATAATTAACATGTGCTTGAAAAATTCGTCAGTCCAGCAGGTCAATTCGTCGAATGTATACATAGTAACGGCAATTAGTGTACGGTCTTCCTCGTACGTTAATGGTGACAGTTATATAATAATACTTCAGGTAGATGGTACAGTGGTAGAATACAAATAGTTAAGATGCGATTATTATGTAAACATGTTCTAGGTCTCTGATCAATGGTTAAAGCAGATTGGGAAAGGTTGTTGGCTCAAGTTCATCTTGGGATACGTTTAATTAGTATTTTTCATTGAATACAACTTACCTAGATAGCGAGCCCGCGTCTATAGACCGTGTGAATGGAGACCCACTGTTATGTGGTGACAATGTAGGGCTGCATTCGCGTGGCGTACTCACTGTGAATGAAACAATTAATTTTGATTCTGTATGACAGATATTCTAAAGTATATTTTTAGGGTTCCGAACTAAGACTTCGCTGTTTGTCTCTCTATCTCTGTTTGTCTGTCACCCGGCTGTTTCTTATGAACCGTGTAATTTAGGTATATGAAGTATTTCTGGAGCCGCTTCATCAACAAATACTAAAAACCAGAATCAAATAAATATTTAAGGGGGCTCCCATATAATAAACGTCAAGTTCAATAACTAACCATTGTTTTTAATGTCGTTTTTAGCTGTATTACTATGGTTTATAAAATATCCTTGTTGAAATCTTTTCAATAATTATATGTCACATGAAATGTTTAAATATGAGGTAATGGTAGTTTCATTAGTAAGTTATACGGGTTAGTATAACGTTTTTGATTGTTTATATATTTGAACGTTTCTTAATATTTTAGTCGGTGTATATTAAATCTAGGGCAATTTTCCATTAAGTGTTTTAAAATGTTACACGGAGTAGCTCGAGATAACAATTTTTGGCCACCCATCCCGTGACCTACCATTGTGTAAGTTGCTTAACAACAAAAATCGCTGGCCGCACCGCTTATCCAACACGCCACCGAGTTATTTTGTATACAGATTCTTAACATTTCTGAGCTTTTTTAAGTATAAGACGTAGTTTTTGTATTTATAACTTTAAAATGCAGCTATAAAATCGTAACCATTAATTAAGAGTCTGACAAAACAACATTTCTCTTACTTTGTATTAAAACGATGAAACGTTCGGAACACTAAAAGGTCGAATGGAAATGATTTGTTCCGTTCACGTCCGCTTCGTAATTTGTCGTGTTCCGAAATTGTCGTATCGATCCAATGCCGCCGTTTTCGAGACCCATATTTACATGCCATATAGATCTGTTAACTAACCGCAAACAGACGGCACCACGACTTTTCGGCTCTGTTAGATATATTCAAAGGTATTGCACGTGTTTCTTAAATTATGTTATTTATTTGAAACAAATCCAATATTGGTATTTTTATTCTAAAGTATTACAAATGCAAAAGTACGAGAAAGTCTATCATATAGATAAATATTTATGGTCTACTTGTAATTAAAAAATAATATAAAAAGATCGTATTAATAAATCGGCACCAATAAAAAAAACATTGGACAATAATGTATGAATACACGAATTAATTTAATAATTTTTATATAGGTATTATTTAGGAATTAATCGCTGAATAGAGAATCTCTCAGAGAAATATTTAAAGAAATATTTTTTTTGACTGTTGCCTCTCAATAAATTTATGAAAATATTATGTACGCAAGAAAACATTACGATTCCTTTACAAAAAAAAGTAGTATTTATAATCTTAACAGAAGAAATAAAAATAAACTTGCCGTTCCAAGCTTCAGACTTTAGAAAACCAGAGGATCATTTCATGCATTTAGTTCTTATGTTCAATAATGTTCCACAAAATGTAATTGACCTACCCATAAAAAAAAAATAAAATTCATGGTAAAGAACATACTTATAAGTAAAGGCTATTATAACGTTGATGATTATTTTGAGGATTGCAATGCATGGAATTAATAGCCTTCGCTTTGTTCTATAACGACTAATTTTATGTACAACCTATGACCTACAGACTTTAAAAGTTGTATTTATTATTGTGATAATACATATTATTTTGGTAATGACATGATTAATGTAAATGTCATTACTTATGATAAAAAGCTGGTAAGTTTCTTTCGCTTGTTCTTCTTGCCAGCTAAAAGACGTCCTGAACAAGTGGTAGGGGAAATTATTTTTTGGACGATTCAAAAGTGCTTGTAATAATCCTACTTGAATAAAAAAAAGCCTAAAGGCCTGTTTTATTTTATGACTGATCTTTAGTAATCTAGTCTTTAGTGGTCATCTTTGTTTGGGATACTTCTGTTTTTTTTTTTGCCCCATAATCTGAAATGGTGTGATAACCATATAATCTGAATACATTCCGTACTATAGCAATTAGCAAATAACTTGGACTAACATATTATTTACGTGTTATTATTAGTCAAAGTATAGTGATATAAAATCCTTAGAAAAACTATCAAGGGCTCGCACATTAATATGAACGTTTTTTAATGTCAATTTATTTTTAAATTAGCAAAAAGCTTTTTGTTAAGCTGATAAATATAACCTTCGTTGTAAAATCAAATTTTACCGAGCGAATTGTGAACGTTGTAATGACGTCAAAACCGCTCGACTGCAATGAAGTGTACTTTTGGTCGCATACATCAAATTAAAAGAAGCATACGTCACGATGCACTTCGCAAATTGCCAGGACGCTGCTTTTTACTGTTAATAGGTTAGCTTTTATATAATATTTTCATTACGCTGGTGCGCATGAAAATACCGTATTCGTTACAAAATGCTACTACGTATTCCGATGAGTTTTCAACACTATTCCGAGGGAGGTTTTTATTTAAATGGTAATAAAGTAAATTTACCATTATTATATCTTTAGACAGATATCGAAGTGTTAATATAACTCTCATTTATAGTTTATAGTCTATTATTAACGCCAATGGTAAAAAACGGCGAACTGCCAGTCGGACACGGGCACGAAGGGTTCCGTATAAACACAAAAGACACCCGTTTGTTCATGGGAGCCACGTAAAATATTTATTGCTTTTTTTTTAAATATAATAATTTTAAATAAAATTCTGTACATTAAGGTATAATCTTTATAATTAAATTTTTAGCAACAGTAAATATATTGTTTGTGAAAATTTCAACTGTAAGTTACTATTTACAGTTGAAATGTGATACTTCACATTTCAAGAGATATATATCCTGTTCAACGGACTGACGAATGGACAGAGCGGAGTCTTAGTAATGCGATGCCGTTTTTATCTTTTACGGAACCCTTAAAGTGGCAATGTAATATTTTTTTTATAATTTTGTTTATATAATATTACTCACATTGATATATGTGATGAGCTGAAGATACCAAAGAGGTAGCATCAGTATCATACGCATCCAAAGTTGGCGGCGCGCCCTCTGCCGTTGAGTCAGAGAGATTCCCTCCGCAAACTGACGTTGCACCGCCGTCACTGCTGCCTGTTACCGACACAAATCTTGTTAGTGTATAAAATGTCAACGATCACAACAGGACAACGGTCACGTTATTCTGTAATAAAATCATCCTCGAACTAGATATCACTTAGAGCGTAGGCCTTTATTGAAATAAAACCTTTATTACTTTTGAAGTAGGTTTTGTTTGATTAAACCTCTTTGCTGTAACAGCGGTAGTTTGGTGTCGAGATCAAAGCCAATTTCATAACAGAATTGCACTACAAAAAAATATCAACACTTATTCCAAAACAATTGAAGAAAAGACTATTATTCATTAAAAACAAAAAAGTTATATAATAATGTGTTGCTCATATCTTTCAGACGTGCAAAAAATGAGAAAAACAATGTTTCTTTTATTTTCCATCTAGAAACAGTGATTGTACAAATTATTTATGGACATATCATCTAGAGCTAGACAAAATATCTAAGATATTTTCTTATAATATTGGTTTTACATTATGCTCAATATGTTTGCCCTAAGGCTGAACTAATACGCCATTATTAAAGCAAGACTAAGCTATAAGCATCTACAGATAGCCCTATCGTGCATTATACTTTACGCAATAGAAAATGATAAGGAAACCTACATCCAAATGAGTCTAAACGTGGTCTTATGTATTTGACATAAATAAATAATTAGAGATTCTAAATATCAACTCTATTTACGTATATTCCACTTATTCGAGGTGCTATACACAGATTGCGACAGTCAATTAAAAATACTATTTTAATTATTTATTTCGGTCATTAGGCCATCGTCTGACTGGCTTATTTCGTATTGTAATATCTTTTACCTTTTATTTTGTATACGCTCGCAGTATAATTATGTCACTGTTTAAAGCAAAATAATAACTCTATTGCCCTTAAATTAAAGACTTGTGACTTTTATTAAATTCAAACTTTTGGCAAGTGTAACTGATATGTAATCTTATGATATTGTATGTTCTGCTCTACCGAAAGGTTTAATTAAAAAAAACTTTTACTACTTCTTTTAGATGTTTCAGATTTTTTGCAGGCTTCGTGGAACTAGATTGAGATATTGATTATTTAAAAAATATTCTTCACTGCAATCCGTGCTACTGCTCTAACCATTGAGCTACCCAGGACCTAACAGGACTGAAGAATTTTTCTAGCACCTGTTACTTTTTCGCTACTACAGAGCGTGCTTGATGAAAATTCATCATTGTCCAATCCACCCAAACAGCCAAAAGAAACATTTTTACAAATATTTTAAACTTTCTATCATGATGATAATTTCTTATAAATAATTATATTTAATCATTTTTGCACTCACAATTCGATACTGGAAAATATTCTTATACAATGCTAATTGTGAGTGCAAAATTAATCGCATATAATAACTATTCCTCATATTTACCATCTTATAATATTATATAATACACTAATATAAAATCTATTCTATTCTATTCTACTATGTATGACATCAAAATTTATATTATTAGTGCACAGAAGCAATAATTATATATTTTGTGGCAATATAAAGCTAGGTCACATTTAAAGCTATACGTCATACCCCTGACACCTGAGTCTGCGCTGCAGCTGCCTCTATCACCGACCATTCCAGATGGTCCCAAAATCATTGGCGGACCTATCCCAAGAGAAGCCACGCTTTCACCTTCCGACAGACATCCAGCTGCCTGCAACTGTCTGCGAGCCTAGTAAAAATATATCAATACATAGTATAAAAAATGTAGTTTTTCTTCTGTGTATCTTTATGTATGCTTATTTTTAAAACTAGACAATGAATTATGATGCGTTTTTTTTTAGTAGCTAGTAATGGATTTTTTTTGTTTAATAATGGACTACGTGGGTGAAGCCGCTGGTGGAAAGTGTACCATATGACCATATGAATCAATTAAATTGTTTAAATTTGAAAATTAGTAGTTCAAGTATAATACTTTACGCATTATTATTTTATTATATTATATAAACGTGAAACAATTAACGCACATCCATAATGAAACATAATCAAAGCAGTTTGTTTAAAATCAGATACTGATTCGATTTCAACAACTTTTAATATAGCTTTTTTTTTGCTAACTTTAATTGGAATCAAGTAAATTATGGTCACCTGTACCATTACAGCCGTCACAAACAAAAAATAAACTTTAGTGAATGTAATAAGGTTTTTTTTTAAATGCACTAAATTCTTAGCTTGTAATAAAATAAATAAAGAAAAAAAGCTTTCTTTTAATGTACCTTGAGTCGAAAATGCAATGACGCACAAGTTCATAAACCAAAGAGCAAAATAATTCATAAACAAAGAGAAAAACAATATGCCACTAATATACACGAAAAACGTCACGGTGGCAGTGGATGATTATTTTATTGCAATTTAAGTTTATCGAATTTTCTATTTCTCACGCAATGATTCTTCGTTATACTAATGTACAGTAAATACATCGAAATGCTTAAGGGTTAGGCACAATGTGGTGATACTGTGCTCGTCGTGTGACATGACGTAAGACTATGCTAGCCAATACTCACAATAAGTAACAATCATAATTATAGTCTAAACTTAAAAACACTGAATCTCGAAACAGAATAATATTTCGTGTCGAGAATTATTATTGGTAGGTAGGTGGTATCATTGTGGTATTGCGCTGTAGGTACATACATTTGTAGTAGCAGGATTAGCCGTAAATTCGACGTCATTGTAACATATATTGGGGTGTATAAGGATGTGAGTTACTTCTGTTACACGTTGTATATTTGATAATGAGGTTTCAAGCAATCCAGAACTGATTAATTTGATAGCACCAAGATTAAATCTTGCCAGTTAAATATTGTAAGTAAACGCAGTAACCTCATCAAATTAGGGATTGTTTGAGTTGTATCTGCAAGATCTATGTAATGGTGCTAATTAAATAATGGAGCCGGTAGCCATGAGATCTCTGCAATCAAACCAATCGAACTCATCGAATTAGGGCTCGTTTATTTTTTCTTAACTAGGAAATTCATTCGATATAATATCCAGAGTCTAATGGTGGAACTGGAAAGTGGCCATACGAATTTTGTACACAAGTGATGCAACCCTTTCGACTTTGAGCTTGTTTGATTCGTCGATACAAGATCTCTGGTTCAAGATAGAATACAGTTTTTTTTTATTGTGATCATCGGTATTTTGTCGGCCCGCTTAAAAATATCTTCTCTTTTGAAGGAATTTTCAGTTATTATTTCCATTTATTTATTTAATTTAGAAGTACATTATTTTAATTTGTACTGTGCGGTTTTTCTAATTGTGTAAACAACTTAAAATGACAACTTCTCAACACCACTCCACCCCGAACGTGGCACCACGTACCGCGAGCCAGATATAGCTGACGCTTTAGTATTTTCCAATTAATTACCTCAAATAATTGTTCTCTCGCATGTCGCAGCTGAGTATCGCGAGCACTAAGCGCTGCAGCCAACTGCAGAGAACGTTCAGCTTCATCGCGAGCGTGTCGCAGCAAAGCCGCTCGTTCGCGTTCGCGCTCCGCTCGTTCTGCACCCAAAGCTGACGACGCTCCACCTCTTGATCGCATCTAACAATATAACCTTTTTTGTTCTTACAATTGTCATCCGTCATTTTATTCCTATTATTTTCAAGAAGAGAGACTGATGACTAGATCAAGAATACTATTCTACAGAACACTAGGCTTCCACAATCGAAAGCTTGACTAGTCACTCTAGAAATTTGAACCACAAAACATTGAAAAACTGATTCATTAGAACCTCAATTCGATGAAGAACAATTTTTTTTTTTAAATAATTAAAAAAAAAAATAATGACATTCTGAGTCTGGAATATATAAAAAAATTACTTAATATTTTTTAAATTAAAACACATGCCTGTTCATAGTTTCGGATGAAATCGCGTAATTCCTTCTCTTTGTCTTCTAATGTTGCGTACAGCTGTTTCATTTGATTTAACAGATCAAACTTCTCGGCTTTTAAACGTTTCTTGTCAGCCTTGAGAGCTAAAACAAAACAAAAATACTAAATAATAACATTATTATAGGTACGATGCTAATAGTAATAAAGTGATTAAGAGTAAAGATCTTGAAATGGATATCTAAATGAGGTATTAAGATATGTATGATAAATTAAGGACCTGTGTATGTCTAATACTCTTTTTCAGAAAAAAATATGGTTTATTAAACGCTTGTAATACAGGTGCGAAAATTCCGTAGTAACTACATCGGCAATATTTGAACTTTTACTTATTCCTTCGTTAATTTCCTAGTTAACCTTAATCAGTGTTATTTATATTAGGTAAGAAAATGAATACCTAAAGGTAAAAGTTACAACAAAATCGTTATGAAGATATTTTTTTTGTAATTAATAAATATCAAGTTTATTAATTACAACAAAAATATCTTCATAAGATGTGAGATAAGATCTTTACACTTAGCTTTATAACTTTGATATTTCTTATTTGGAATCAGAACAATTTTATTCACCCAAAAGAAATGCCTTAATCATAAAATATGAAACCCTAAAAAGGAAACAACAATTTCTAATATCAAATGTTTTGCAATTTATTTGCGGCCTCTGCAAAATAAGTTACCGAAGTAAAAGCCTTTCTATGTACATTACGTTAAGATACCTTTGTAGCGGAGAATGTTTGCTTTTAACATCTTTCAATTTCCATAACAACGTATTTACATATAAATTCTAAATATTTGCAGTTCACTTTTATAAATAAAAACCACAGACTATTAAATTATGATTTGTTTATAAACTTTATTTCGCCCCATATCTGTCGATATTGGAGTCCTAACTTTTAACTAACCTTTTAGCAAAATAAAAACAAAGTAAACCAAAATAACAATAAGTCTCTAAATCAAAATTAATAAGAATACTGCTACATCTAAGCATCAATTACGTCCCACCTGTGTTATAGAAAAACAGAATGAACTAAGCAAAAGTGATAGTCGCCACTCATGTTCCCACTGGAGTAATGACGTTAGCGAAAATGTCAGTGGAAGTTACACAAACACACGGCTAATGTACGTGACTTGTATAAAGAATGTTACAAACATATATCGTTCCCCAAATATTTCCTCAAAATCTGTTATAACTGTGACTCTTGCTAAAATATTTATCCCATCGAAAACATTTGGGAATTGAGAATTCAGTGCAATTAAATGTTGTTCGGATTTGCCGATAAAAGTTGGCATGCCTAATTCTGTGCAAAAAATTAAAACTCAACATTTGACTTTGTCAGGTTATCAACTTACAAACCAATTTTTAGAAAAGCTACATGTATTATATCAACTTAAAGGATAAACTAAACAAATAAATTGATTAGAAAAAAAAAATACGAATGTTAGGGTTATTTCCGGAGTTTTCATCACCGTTGACTGAGGCAAACAAGTATTTATCTGTAATTCTAACTCATAGATGTCTGAAACTAAAGTCTGACATAAAAGATAGGTTAGTATTACCTCAATTATTATTTATCTTTATTAGCCACAGATCCTTAGTCAGATTTAAATATGCCATGTGTTCATATGATTTGATTAACAACCAAAGTTTAGCATTTAAATTAGAATACCTAACCACATAAAAACAAATTTTTACTTATATATATATGTATGTTATATTTTTCTCTTTATTACACGCAGACTTTTGTCATAAAAAAGTATTGTTATTACAAGTGCCGTGAATATAGGGTGTGGGAGATATATAAGTACGTGACCTGTATAGAGATTTTGTCAGGTACTCCGTCAAATATTATGAATAGTTTGTCAAACGAGCCGAAGGTTCCTATCCGTCGACAGCAAGGGTGACTGTAGACAAATTGGCTACTTTTGTAGGATCGGTTAGGATTACATTTTGGACCACTTCTCCATTTGTAAAATTTATCGGTATCCAAATCGCTACATCTATAACGGTGTACTTTCAATTGCATCATCCAATTCTGTTTGAGTTTCAACTTCAACTTTCTTGCTTCAAGCATAATACCATACCATAGCTTAGTGTCTATATTGGCGCGTTAGTCGCATGCGGCGTGTTCCTCCAAAAGCCTTGATAAGTTAACAAGCTGGACGCGGCATATGAAACTCTCAGTATCACAAGGGCAGATCCACCGTAACAGACACGATGGGCACACCCACAACTCTAATATAGTTGTGGTAAACATTTTGATGGCCTACTTATAGATATTAAATTTAATTTAATTATGGCGTCACATAAATATATAAACATCTACTTTGCACTATTTTGAGCGCGAGTTTTTCTCATAACGTTTCTGGATTCGCCCCTACAGTGTCAGTTTAAATTAAACGCGAACCCACTGGTGATGGATCAACATACGGTTGAGCTGGATTTAATACACGCATAATTGTATACGCCATGGTTACCAAGTCGTGTGTTAGAGGAAAACTCAAAATGAACAGGAAAGCGCACCGATGTAGAAATAACTTTTCACTTCTATCATGATGCTTCATAAAAGCGACCTCATATATACCAAAATAGAACGCGCCAAAGGAGGCGAAAGAAAGGAGTATTTGATTTCTTTAAATACAAACTCATGAACCATCAAACAATCCATTCGGCATGTGTTTTGTGTGTACGCCGAATCGTTAAAATTCTAATACCACCTGTCTTGAAATTCGTTTCGTTGACTCCCTTCAGTTGTGATAAATATACGATCATTAAGATTAAAAGAAAAAAAGTTATAAAATTAAACTATACAAAAAGACTTTTTTTTCCTTTACAAAACTCAGTGAAACATAAAATAATCATATTTTAATTCATACTTTTATCCTATATTATCGGTCGGTTGGATGGATACGTTAAGCCGTTGGTCCAGTCTGCATTTGCAGTCGTTAATACCCTCCAATCCGCATTGGGCCATAGTGGAGGGTCATGGCCCATCCTCCTTAACCATCCATAAGGAAGCCCCTGTAGTAGGGACGCAAAAGGGTAACTTACAATTAACAGCTTCTCTGGCCAAGAGAAGTTCCTTCTCTAGTTGTTGTGGGTCTAACGGAGTGGCGTCTTGTCCTCCCTCTTCTTTCGCCCGTTCTACAAGAGCGGTACCAGCTTCACCCCGTTCAGCTGCTGACACTAAGAGACGACGTACTCTGGTAAGTTCCGCCTGCGTTGAAAAGTTTAATAAATTAGTAGGGTACAGTTATTGCTTGCCACCTTCTGTAAACATAATCTCTATGATTGGAGTGGTTCATCTCTTTTCATTACAATATTTGTTTATTACTTCAATCTATGTAAAATCAAGTTAATCTAATTACGAATTTATCTATCTTTTTTTCTTTTTCGGCTTTTTTTTGACATAATTAATGATCTAAGATAATATCTTAACGAATGTCATAACTTTCATTATCATTTAATTATGTATTGCATGTCACAAATATAAAGGTGTAACATTTAGATATTTACAGTTCGTGTAACACCCTGTGAGGGTGAAGGAATTATATATAGTCTTTATATTATATAAAATTTTTAAGTCGTTCTTTAAATTATCTCTAATTATAATTATATTAAGTGTACAATTTATTTCCTACTTAAAATCTATAGAACTAAATGTCAATTTAATTTTTATTAATTACTAGCTTTTGCCCGAAACTCCTTTTGCGTGGTATAAGTACTTACAGTCGTTTATATTTAAGCTACTTCAATAAATAAGAATATGTTTTTAATTTGATTGTTTTCTTGTATCCATATTGCACTTATTTTTTTGTTTGAAAGAGTATTAGATCAGTAGTCTTGTTTTAATATGAAAAAGAAAAACAACTGGAAGAACTACATCGCTTAAATTATCTTGATATGGTAGTTGTCACATAGGAACTCTAAAATAAAAATGTTTATTTTCAAAATTGACAGGCTTGTTAATCGTAAAATAATTATTTTTATTATAATTTGCTTCGCGCGTTTATCGTAACTTCCCTTCATTTCCATATGATTCTCGATAGTATCACAATCAAAGTTTTACTAATCGTTAGCTGATTTTTGCTACCAGAACCAGAACCAGAAGCTTGCTGGTTTAAAAGAAGTATTTTTGTTATATGTAGTGTCCATACTTTCTTCCTTTGCACTGAGTTCAACCCGATATATTAAACATATATGTAATCTAACAATACATATTGAACGTTGAGTGCAATCCAATGTCAACCAATGTTATACGGCAGCCCTTGCAGCCGTCTCTTTTCGTTGATGATTCTCAGCACTTATTCAATCGATTATCCATCCAGCACTAAATAAACCCTACACTACTCCAGATAATAAACAATAATATCACTATAGTAAACAAAGATAGTAAACAATAATATCACTGCTAGTCTTTATAAATTTAGCCTATACATAAAAAAAATCTGGTAAATCGTAATAGATACATGTACACAAAATAGTATTTAGAAACACGGCAATAATAAGCTATTAGGCACTAAACTATTCATCCAATTTATTTGGTGTAAAAGACATTTTTTATGTACATTAAACTTCTTTGATGATAAGCATAATTATTTCGATAAAGACTTAATATCGCCTACTCAAATAAACATCTAAAGACGGACACAAATTTTAATTACTCTCATACATTTGTTTTTACTTTTGTGACAAAACCTTTTGTGACAATACTAACACGGATTTTTTTATAAATAATTTATAGCTCTCCGACTTTTCTTTAGAAAGCGTTCGTATACCTCTTACCGTTAAAGCAGCGTTAAATAAAATATTTAAAGAAAAACAAAAAACCCGATTGCGTAAAAACGAATTTTAAAAAACACATGAAAAAATTGTCTTAAATAAAATCTAAAAAGAAAGAAACAAGCCCAGTAGTTTATTTATTTTTATTTTATACTTTTTAGTTACAATTCGTTGACTTCGTTATAAGATGGTAAATTTCGCAATCTAGTCATTTCATTGAGGGAGTTAATATGCGGTGGTCTAAACTACTGATGATTAGTCCCTCTAAAGATCTAACTCGGCTCAAAGCTACATATACTTTATTTTTTTACCAAAAATATGTCTTTTTCACTGCTTTTTTTTTGTTTGTATTTCGTATACTTTAAATAAAAACTTAAATCAATGAGTAAGAAAATTTGCGAAAATGTTTTGTTAAACAACTTTAAATCTTTGTATATCTCAAACTATTATTTAAAATGAAATATGATAAAACGAACCCAAAGATGATTTTAAAATACCTATTCAACGATACCCCAATTGACATAGTTCATCGATTTTCTTTTTTTCATTTTGATAATATGGCGTCTGGTTAGTGTGGTGAATTTTGATTACTGTCACGTAACACTCGCAAGGTTAAGACGAATCGATTGACGTAAGAATCATCAAAATCGGCCTACGCATTTGGTCTCTAGAACGCCACATAGAAACAAATATACATACATACATAGACTGATAAACACATTACCCTCCTTTGCGTCGCGCAGTCGGGTAAAAATAGGTGCCCTTGGAGGTACTTCTATCCCTAATTCCCTATGTAACCTTTTAGTGGGATAAAAAGTAGCCTATATGTTAATCCATGCTAAGAATTGCCTATATACCAAATTTCATCAAAATCCGTTCAGTAGTTTTTGCATGAAGAAGTAACAAACATCCAAACCTACAAATTTTCACCTTTACAATATTAGTAGGATTATTCATTGTCATTAGTCAATCAATAATGAAAAGTTTAATTTATAATTATTTCTTATATTAATATATTTAAATAGCATAATATTAATTGTATAGTATACATAATGAGTCCTAATTTTGTCCTAATTATTATTGAGAATTTATATTATTATATGTATATTTTAGTTAGGTAGGACGTTAGCTTTTATTTATAGAAAATTGTTTCAACTGAATTTCAGAAGCTTTCATTTTTTCGAGCCCTTTAATGTAATTTGGTATTTGATTGTAAATTTCAATTAGCATTGAATGGGGGGCTGCTGATTATAATTTCATTTTAGTAGAAGGGACCTTTATTATGGTGTCTAATGTTGCGTCTTAATTATTTTACCGGGAATATACTTTCCACGCGAATTATTGTGTCTGTTAATATTTTTTTGAATAACCTAATCTTGTCTTTCGTTCGTTTTCAGAACCACAGATTGTGGAGAATAATAAATAGGACATAAAATTTGACAAACAAAACAGTATTATTCTTTGGTTGGTAAATAATTATTAACAGAATTAGTAAAATATTCAAGAAAATACAGATAAATATATATCATTGCTGGTAAGACAACACAAGTGGGCTATGATACAAAGACGAATGAGTACAATAACAAGATTAGCGTAATGATAACATGTGTACTACCACAGAACACAGAAAGACGTCCGTGTTCTGTGTGTACTACTGTGATGAATCATACCTTCACGTTTGTAGCAGGAAATACATTTACCAAACAGAATACGTGTAAATGTTTCATAGCTGTTATAGCAGATTGAGATCTGACATTTCCCTATTTAAATCGATTGTAATATGCTCATATCAACTAGACGAGATATTTGCACATATGATGCCTGTTGTGGACATTTTCTTTCCTTCTATAATAATTTAATTTCTATTCGCATTCTTTGAATATTTAATATTGCAGTTAAACGAATATACTAATGGTAAGAAGAATACACAAATCACAGACAACGAAAACTTGAGGTCGGTTTTTAGAATTATAGTACAATAAGTCAAACAGGGTTGGTTGCACCAAATTATTTCAACAATAAGCAACGTAGCATGTTAAAATACCAGCTAAGTAAATAACGAGTTGTATCATTTGGAACTGGTGTGATGATAATATATTCATAAATTTAACTGTTAGCTATAACAATAAAATTTTCGCTAGTTAAAGTTATTGTTATGAGAGGGTGGTACAACGCATTCCACGGTCAATGTTAAAGTCAGCTTGACAGTTATTATCAAATTTGACATAAGGTTTAACTTTAATTGCTCTTGTGATGCAATACAGCCTGACAAACAAAAAGTTGTTAGTGCTGTTGATACGTTCTTATTTTTCGTAACGCAAATGATCGTTTCAAATTTCTTCTTTGAATTTATAGAGATCACACAAAAATATAACATAGCATAATTTACGCCGACGTTCCATTTATAAATAACTATATATTTATCGCTTTAACGTAAATTATACCAGAGTTAATACTGTAGTTAGTAATATTAAAAAAAAATGTAATTTTGTAGAAATAGAAGTTATTATCAAGATTTCTGTGTTACATTAGACTGCTTTGTCTCCCCGTGGCAGAGTGGTATGCGCAGGCATTTTCTCCTGAACCAAAAAGAGAAAAAAATACCCCTTTCTGTCGCATAAAACAAGCATCAATATTATTAATAATAATAAGTTATTTTTTCCAATCCCAGTTATCGTATTGCGGCATCCAACTGAATCCAGTTACTAGGAAAACATAAATTAACTTTACATCTCCAGATGTCTTGACAGATAATGAAGGCAAATCTTTATATAAATTTCCAAAACCGTAGTTATGTCAAAGTTATATATGGTGTAACCTTGTCCTTTAAAATTTATTGTATGTGAAATCTGTAATTGTTTTGAAGTTTTAGGTGCTTAATAACTGTATTATTTAGGTACTATATTCATTTACTATATTTGAGTTTAAAGGTAAGCCTAAATCAATACAAATAGATCGTGCTGTATTAATAACCTTCGCACCGGTCACAGCCGATACATCAGAATTGTAATATCACCTGTCATTCATTCAAAATTCACTTCATTCGTCTCTTTCGACTAAGATTGATCTTTTATTACCCGGATGGGTAATAGGAGATAAATCTTTATAAACCCTTCACAATAAGACTTTATAAACACTTTACATGAATTATTGTAATTAGAAGTAGACCTAAAATACAATTTATTTATTTTTCTTTTTATTTGTTTTCTTGAGGAATTAAAATGTTTGAAAAATGATTTAATTTCACTAGCCTGTAATCGTTCGTTCTCAAGTCTTAATCTCCTGGCGAGTTGAGCAGCTGTCAGCATACCCGGGGATGCAGGGATCTCTTCTTGTCGAGATCTGTCTGATCGGCCACCAGGTGAAGCTGCTTCTGAAAGCAAGTTTTTATGTAAAGCGAAAAATGTAAAACTATAAAAAATATAGTAACCTTTTATCATATATGTTTAGGAAAAAACTTTTTAACACTAAGTTTTTGTAGCAAGTTAATCAATTACAGTCGAAAATGGTTTATTTAATTATTCATTCAACTGAAATAATACATAAAATTGTTATTATCCCCCAAATAATTAAATATGAAACCTATTAAAACTGGAATACGAGTATTTCGTAAATGCTTCGGAATGCATAATTTTTTTGTTCAACTATCTCGTGACTGACCCTTGCGAAAGTTTCTCAACAATAACGATCGCGACACCATCTGAAATCTTCGATGTCGACGGTGCCAGAGTCTCAGAGGTACTGTTGGTTTCACACCATTACGGATCTAGTTTCACATACGATTTTTTAGTTACATGACACGAGTTTCGTAATGTAAATTCATCTTTATGTCTAACGACTTTAAAGTCTAGTTCGACGATTTTAAGGTATCGGTACTGTTCTTAAACTAATGTCAATTTTAATGTACGTTTGCGCAACAGGGTGTAAGTAAACTGACATTACCCACTTTTCCATTTTCATTAAAAGCTATTTTGTAATAAAATATATTTAATTATATGAATTTTATGTGCCTCATGTAATATAAGGTTGTCACGAAAAACGAGGCCGTGTATTTTAAGTTAATTCTTCAGAATATACGTACAAATATAATGTTTTCCCACAAAGCCTAATGTTTCGTGAAATAAGCCAGCAATTCTTGTTTATTATATACGCTAAAAAAGTCGTCGCGGTTAATCATTATGATAATAAGCTTAGCTTTATCATTGTCTATGTTTATTAAAACATTTCTTTTCCCGCGACCTCATTAGCGTATATTTTAGCCTATGTCTTACGTGTATGATGTGGTTTCCCGTAGATGGAACAATTTTCATGAACGAATCAGTATTTCCGAAAACTACACTAAAAATAAACAGAGTTGAAAACTACCTGATAATATAAATTTACTTTTAATTATATTATAAGTATTCTTATAGATAAAATAATAAAACACCATCGATAAGTCATGTTCCTTTATAATGGTTGATTTATGATAATTTATTACTCTCTTAATAACTGTATCCCCTCTAAACTTAAGTTTCATTGTCTTAACTTAATACCGGTTTGTCCCATAAAACACATATGACGTACTGAAATTGCTTCTCCATTGTTAATAGTTGTTTTATTGCGAAATAGATATCCGTGGATCTTAATCTTAATTAAAATTAATACTAATTATTTATTTATTCTATTTAGACCTTTCCATGTTGTTGTTTCTCGCGAATTGGAATTTATTATCTAAACTTTCCAGATTTATTTATAAACATTGCATTGCTTGGCGTCGCATGGCACCCACTCACAGCTACGAGTCATGGTTCATAATAAGGTTTTTTCTTCAGTATTTGTAGGTGTTCGACTAATTGACAGTAAATATTTTAAACATTCATGAATCATCCAATGCAAAATTAATCAAATATAAAAACAAGAACAAATCTTAATCTTTGTCGAAATTTTAATAATTTGTAAAAATATTTCTTTTGGCTTTTTGAGTCGATTGCCGGAACATTGATGAAAATACGCTCTGTAGCAGCGAAAAAGTAAAAAGTGCTTGGAAAATTCGTCAGTCCTGTTTAGTCCTGGGTTGCTCAATGGTTAGAGCAGTCGCCTGAATTGCGAAAGCTTATGGGTTCGAGTCCCGTCACATAGTGCTAGAGACAAAGTGGATTTTTTAAGCATTTTTTATTAAGAATATCCTTATGTTAAGTTGCTGTTAGTAAAAACGAGGAAAGACTTTCAGTATTTTTTGAGTATATCGCATGGACGCGGTCGGCAGATTAAAAGTCGTAGATTAAAACGGTTTAACAGCAGCTCGAAATTGTTTCTTATTTTGGTTACAGTGCTTTGGTTACAGTATACGACATTTTTGAGAGTTTCACTTTTTTACAAAAAATTATCTTATTTCATGTCGTAAATATATTTTGTTAACTAAAAATATATATTTACAATAAGAAATAGTGATTTTTTAGCTCATTAAATGCCATTTTTGAAAAAAATGGGACATTCTCAAAAACCGTGCTCTATTTTGATAATTTGCAAGTGCAAATTATCAAAACATTACATGCTAAGTATGTTAATATTAACAGAATCAGCATGCAACAGAATGTGCGTAAGCATGCTTGAAGAGCGCGGGCCATTATCTAACAAGTTGACAGCCCGCCATTTGCTTTTTTATACTGACGTTACTAAATATATTATTTAACATACAATTTAATGAACAAAATAATTAAGACTAAACATCCAAAGTTAATTTAAACTAAACATCCAATAGTTCAATGTAAAATGTCTCAATACACATAGTATTTATCTTATAATTATGCCGATTTGCATTTTTTCCTGTCACAATCCTCCACGGCTTTATGAATCAAAGCATTTCCGTTTCACTACAAGTTGTAAATATTATACCAACTTCGGCTCACTCTGTTAATACGGGGTCGTGTTATTATGAGCTGTCCCTGTTTAATGCGGAAAGTTTTAGTAAAGTGCGGTGCCGTCACAGTCGTATGCTGAATTGGTTATAGCGATGTAAACATCGTAATAATGCGAAAGTTCCACCGGTCACGAAAGGTCTATACTGAACTAGTGATGGGAAGACAACGTACGTCGATATTAATGAAAATAACGTATAAATTAATTCCTTTTAATAAAGGTATGTTAACGCAATATCATTCATTCGCGTACGCTCCGATTTATACATTTGAACAAAATCGTCTGAAAATAGTAGACAGTTTCTAAGAATTGACATTTCAGTAGCTTTTTATAAGGATACACACAGGTTCATATAAGAATACGCAATTGCTAGTGACGAGCATATTGGCTTTCTAAAAATAAGATAAAAGTGACAAATTTCATATTAAAGGACGTATATTTTAAATGCAAAATAATTTAAAAAAAATGATAATTAATGACTGTAGAATATAAAATAGTAAATATCATATCAAATGTTTTATTTGGTTTGAAACATATTCCGATTTTGAAACGGAATTTATAGTTTTCGCTATTGATTTAATCCAATAAGATCCCTCTGCGGACATATAATACTTTTTACTAAGGGATTACCTGTTAAATCACATGCAATAAAAAAGAATAGTGCGTAACTGTGTAAAACTTACAAAATGGATCAAATAATTTTCTTAATTTACTATACAAGATTTTAACGAAATTATTTTATGGAAGATAAGGAGGTAAAATCAATATATTATGGTAGTGTCGTCCAATTTTGATGTTACTTTATTATTGTATAAAATAGAGTCCATAATATTTAAAATAATAAGTTTTCCTTTCATGGTGTAATGTAAGTAATGTTTTCAACTATATTTGGTATATTTTAGTTTCCAAAATCCACTTACGCGAATGAAGATATTTTTGAAACTAAACTAAAAAAATATTTATTCAGTATGTTAATATTAATATTGAAACGCATATTATTATAAAATTCATATTAATGATTTTTTTATGTATAAATAAATATATGTATACCAACGCCATCTATTGGTACTCGAAATTGAAGGTTATAAAAGTCTATTTTCTACAAAAAATCTTTAACGTATACTACGTTAAACAATGTTAAGTTAAATGTTAAACTGTCGATGTCCCGACACTGGCAGCGAGTCCAGACAAATCGATTGCTCGTGTGTAACACGCGGTAGCGTAGGACGCAGGTGTACTCGAAGCCTAATTTATAATACGGGTGTTCTCAAACTATATACCTAGTAGGAACACCGGTACAGTACCGTAATATCTTTCAAATCTTATGATGTTACACAAATTTCAGCACACGATTCTAGGATATCATAGTCGATATCACTTTATTGTTAATCTATACTTATATTATAAAGAGCTATTTTCTTTATTACTGTGTTTATTTGTAGAGTGTATTCTTCGGAAATACTGATCCGATTATGAAAATTCTTTCATATACGAGCTGCTTCATCATGCGCGCATGACATAGGCTATACGCGGGCATGATAGCAAGACAATATATTTAAGCATACTCATATTTTTATTCGTGAAGTGTAATTGAATGTCGAAGTTTAGACAAACATACTGTACATAGTGCGTCCTTACTTTGCTCAAAGAACGATTTAAATATATAATGAGGTTTCTGTAGATTTATCTCAAAGAATATAACACTGATATACTACCGAAATTACATATTACTCTTACGAATTAACATGACATTTCGTCTGTTTTCGAAATTGCAAAGAAACGCATGTTACTACAATTTATGATGCAATGGAAATAGGGCTTAATACTGATAAGCTACTAATAAGCTTAATTTTATCGCACACATAATCTTTATGCATATGATTTTATCAAAATAATAAGAACCATTTGATATTTTCCGAATTTTCGTTCGAGGACAAATAGGCTAATTCGTACGAGTTATATTGACACGACTATCACTATAACTAGGACTAAAACATGTTTTCCACAATTCCGTTAGTTTTTTGTAATTAATTAAATTAAGGAAAATTAGCGGATCGAATATTTTCAGTAAAAGCGTTGAAACAAAAACAAGTATTATTTGCTTTTTTTTTTAAATGCCGTCGTGGTTTTAACGAGTTTGTGGGTTAATGCAACTTTTTTTCAAATTCGTATCGATACAAAATGACAGAGCCCCAAATAGCACTCTTAAATAATATGTAGAGTTTAATAAAGAGGAAAGTAAAAAGTACAGGGAAAAAGTGACTTCACCGACATTAGTTTTGATATTTTCTATTGTTAAAATTATTGTAGTCGTTATCTTATGTTGTGTTTAAAATAATATAGATAAAAAATGAATCAGTTGATTAAAAAATGTATACCTACTTATATTTTACGAAAGATTGATAAATAACCAACATTCCAAAATTCTAATTTATAATTATCAAAGTTTCTCTTCTCTCTAAATTGAAATATATTTTTTCTTTTAAGTGAGCCTTCTCAGAATATTCGTTTATTAAATTTTCTACTTTCACAAAAGCAAAAGTTCGAACAAGAAATTAATAAGATCTCTATATATTTAAGTACTTTTAACTTCACTAAAAGTCGAGGAGGTAATTAGAAGACAAATGTAACAACATGAAGTTCTTTCCAGCAAAGTCACTCGGTTGTGCAGTTAGTCGTGAAATGAGCTTATTCCCCAAGGCAGCCAGCTCATTAGCACAGAATATTCTAAAGGTATATACAAACTCTAAACATTTGTTTGTTTCTTATATGCCAACTTATGAGCATTTCACTTTTTCAAACACGGATATTATACGGCAATCAATCTGCATTCTAAAACCTTTGAAGAATTTGCAGTGGACTTTCATGGGAGCGGCTACCCCCATGAAAGGTTATGGCCCATCCTCCTTAATCATCCATAAGGAAGATCTGTGTCCCTGCAGTGAGGATATAAAAAGGCTGATGATTTTGTGTTTGAATTGAAAATAAAATACATTTAATAATAATATTATATGTAAAACAAGACTACAAAATTGTAATGGGACATCAAAAATGTTTTTCTGGCTAAATAAACACAGACAATATGAATTTATTAAGAGTAAGAAATTTCTCTTGTTTTTTAATGACTTAACTCTGAACTTCAAACATTAATCTTTATATTCATGCTGGCCAACGAAAGTCAGCTGTTAGTTAGTATAAACAGCGCTCATAACAGTTTGAGCTTGTAGCTGCTCTGAAGAATTTCAAACTAACTCCGAACTTACTTCATTAGCAAAACAAACATGCCGTCTTGACTAAGTTAGGAACTATTATCTCTTGGATTACAAAGTGCAAGATAAAGAGAAACGTTCGTCCATAATCTATTATTATTTATTAAAGTACTAAGCTGTTGAGGTCAAGTTATTATTTATTTATCCAACGTTAGTTTGATTGATATATTTAGGAATTTCGCCTGAACAGCCAGTGCACGAAATAGGTATTATTTATCTTTGGAACTGCCTCGCGGAATAGTCTCGCATTACTCATCAGGATTGCGACGTCATGTTTAGTAGGAAGTTAATATTGTACTACACATATGGAGCAGGCGATTAATATAGATGAAGATTACGTGAATTTCTATATCAACCTATTTCAGAATAACAGAAATAAATTGTTATATTTTGATTAATTTTGCATTCACAATACCATACTGAAAATTAATCTTAATATAAAATTGCTACTGCTAATTAATCAAAATATAATAATTAGAACAAAATTCTCATCTTTATCGAAAGTTCAATATTTGCAACAATATTTCTTTCGGCTGTTTGGGTGGATGCCTGAACATTTATGAGAATACGCTCTGTAGTAGCGAAAATTAACAAGTGCTTGAAAGATTCATCAGTCCTGTTAGGTCTTGGGTAGCTCAGTGGTTAGAGCAGTCGCCCGGATTGCGAAAGGTCGTGGGTTCGATTCCCATCTCAGGGTGTCAGGGACCAAGTGGATTTTTTAAGCATTTTATATTAAGAGAAATAAATTGTTGTAGGCTTTATCTATTCATAAATACTTTAAAACTTCTTACTACAAATAATATCTATTTTGTCGGTCCCACTCCTAAAATATAAATTATAAATACCTCCATCAAGAGTTGCTGTGATGTCTGCCCTTGGTTCAGGCCCATCGCTGCTCCTGCCTGGCGAGGTAGCGTCTGGTAACGGTACCTCTTCCTCTGAGCTGTCCGCTGGATCCAGTATATTTCTCTCACTTGTATTACTGTTGCCACCTGTACCGATCTCAGCGTATGTGCCGCTATCACTTCCATTTTGTGTCGACCACTTCACTGGAGATTCTAATTTTCCGTTCGCTTGGTTTTCTTTATTGTCATCATCTGGGAATGAAGAGACTACAACATTTTCTTTGTAAGATTATATTACTTACAGTGCTAAATATCCGTTTCTTCAGTTCCGTTATATATTCCGTTATATCCAGGTATTATTATAATATTGCGAGCTTTTAGTTTGATAAATGTTGATGTTTTGTTAATGATTTACATTTTGTGTGTGGTTCGTTTTGTCATAAAGGTGATTATCAGTCCTCTCAACGGAAATAGTTGTATCATTTTTAATTAATAAAATATTCGGAACGGAATGAACGGAACTAAAATTTTATATTTATCTAGTTTAGTGGGGTTTGTTAAGGGAAATGACTCTGAACTCTGTTATGATGAATGTGCCATAAGATATTTACCTATGAAAGGATTTTCTTTCCCATTCCGAATGGTCAGCCGGGTCCTATTGAGTGTACCGTCCTTGTCGCCGTTGAATGAACCATTCCGTTTGTCCAAGGTGCCGATGAGGAGACGTCGCTCAGGTGGTATAGGTCGAGGGTCGAGGTCCCTCTCTAACGCGGAGCTGGCCGGAGTGATCAGAGGATCAGCTGGTTCCGGCTCAGAGTCCGCTTCCACTCGAGCACCCACTGACACTTGCTCGTCGACCATTTTGCGTAATTTCGCCTGTACAACAAACAGTTTCATTATTAATGTAAATTTATTTGACTACATCACATATAATGCTCAGGTCATCTGACCTGAAACTTTTATGAAAATAGAGACAATGCAAATACCGTAACCACCCAGACTCATGACAACAATGATGGCGATATCATAAAACTGGCAAATGAATCGCTCAATAATTTACAATGGCAAATCAATTTTGGAATCAATTTGAGTCTGATTTTTATTTAATGACCGTGAACTATTTACATTTTATTTTATGGTTGTGTTAAAATGAGTTACGGTATCATAGCTCTTTCCAATTGTTTTTCCACAGAATCAATTAGCTAGTTATTTAAATCCATCAAGTTTTATCAATCATAAAGAAAACGAAAACATTTTGTCTGGATTCCGATTTCACTAAACATTTATTTCCTCGATGTTATTGTCAATACGTTTAGTTTATTGGCTTAATCAAGTCTAGAACACAAATACAATTAATTGTTAGCCAATTATGAGAAGAGTCCATTAGCCGTACTACTTTGTTCAATAAAGAGGTTTGCGCATATGTGAATTGCCTATTTTCGGCTAAATCAGAAGTTGAATCAAAATTAGAACGGGATAAAATTTTATTTTGATTATTTGCCAAAATTGAGGAATTAAATAGAAAAAGACGGTGTCATAGACAATGTAGTATGTAATAACATTGTAGTAATAACCGTATCTATACTAAATGTAGAAATGAGACAAGAAGTTGTAAAACATAATTTATCATTCTTATGTAAACTTAGGACAACGGTCAATGCTAACCAAATGATTGGGACTTATGTTACTTATACCCACTTAATGACGATGTAAATGTAAATCAGCTGACGAAATATTAAACATAATTATTTATAATATTAAATGTTATATTTAAGAAGAATAGAAGAAATTACTGTGAAAATTAGTATATTTTGCTCTGAAATAAATCTGGTTAAAATTCCTAAAGACAATTGCTCTATTTTATATTCAATTATAAAAAAAACACAATTAAATTTCCACGGCCATTAATCATAAGCATTTAATCATAACATCACAATATTTTCATAATGGTTATATCACTTTTTTCCTTAAGTAGCACACTGTTTTTTAGGTTTCATTTTCTGAGTGCAAACATGTATGCATGGGTTATCTTTTAATAGCTTAACATCAAAAGGGTGTCATATCGTCGCGTGACTCAATAGCACGAACGATATGTTACAGAAGGGTTATAATTATAAGGCTGAAGTGAGGTACTCGACTAATCATGCATGCAGGGCATTATCCTCACTAGTGCTGCGATAAGTTGAGATATTTCAATGTTTCATAGGAAAGTAGTGGATGTTTAAAAGTAATACTTTATTTTATAGGTATAAGGTTTTTAAGAGATTGGTGCATGAGCACTATCTTTATATATAATTATTACATATGCGTTCTGTATTTTATATATATATTTATATTTTATCTATATTTACATATATATTTGTTTTGGTATATATAGTATTATGCTTTCATCAATTTGTTTGTTGTAATAATTTTTTGCCCTCTGTTTTTTTTGTGTTTTGCTTTTTATTCTTATCGCCTAACATCCTGACTCCAACATCTGTTACTGGTAGACTGGCAGAGAATGCCTTTGGCATTAAGTCCGCCTATTGTGTTAAAATGCAATAAAGAATAAATAAATAAGGTGTAATATTATTATGTGCCAGGATTCCGTGGGATGGATGAGTTAATTAATTTTATTACCAACTTTTATTTTGGGAGCAACACTGAATTTAGAAAAAAATAATCAATCGTTGGCGATTGTAGGTATTAAAATTTTATATGAAACAGCAAATATTTTTTTTCGTGAATTCATTGTTGCCCCCATAGTAAAAGTTGTTCAGTATATTTAATTTATCCACGGCACGAAGTTAGGCATATAATAATATTACACCTTATTTAAAAGTTTTTTTATTTAAATTAATCCGAATGTTTTGTTCATTACTGTAATTATGATAATTTAAGATAATTATTCATTAGTAACTCATATTACGTAATTTGACTTATAAATATTGGATTAGAACAGGCCACTAGATACAATAAAGGAATTTGACGACCAGACATTTTTAGGTTAGGCCAGGGGGCCAATTCTACTAGTTATATTTTAGCTGGAATTGTGTCGTATGTCACTTAGTAGAATTGAAAAACCATAAAAAACTGTAGTTTCGTTCGGTTTCGATTCGATTTAAACAAAATTTATTTAGTAGAATTGGCCCCCAGGGGTGGGTATGCTGCGGCTCGGGAACCGCGTTCGGATCTTTTACGTAAAGATGCGACTCTCAAGTTCCTTTCACAAAATAAAATATTATAAATCGAGTAATCGATCCATAGTTTAGTACCTATAATATATGATTGAAATATGCTTATTATAACTGAGTTAAGTTTAAATGAAATGTCAAATAGAAAAACGTAATATTAAGAAGAAATCTTTTAGTGGCTCTTTACAACAAAGTCATTTTGTATATTGTATATTTTGGCTTCTTCGTCTCATAAGATTTAGTGATTAATGCAAGTTTCAAACCGCATAGAATATATAACACATATGCGGTCTTAACTTAAGAGCTCTAAAATTCGTAGAGTTACATACTCCACGGTCTCCACGAGATGTTTGGATTATGTATAAAGGTTGGAATACATTGAACTTTCTCGATACGACACGTCACTAGTACTTACCTGGGCGTCGCCTAGTATACGGCGCACCAGCGCCATCAGGCCGCCGTGGCAGGCGCTGTCATGCTATCCTCCGCCACCCCTCTTCCTCATGGTCCCCGTGACGCCTGCCACCAGTTCAACAGCCTAAACTCAAGCACTATTTCAGTCCACTCCACAAATTGAGTGTGATTTAGAACTGCACGGTGATAATCTGTAACAAAAGAAAATTATTCATGTTTAAAATATATAATTTTAGAATTTAAATTATATTTTTTAAAAATTCATTAAAAAAAAGCGGTAATAACGAGTTGAATAAAAGGACCCGTTTCATGTATTAAAGTTTTAAATACGAACTTCAACAGTTTTTAACGTCACAGATATTATATAACAACTAGTGGACGCCCGCGACTTCGTCCGCGTGGAAGTCGGTATCCCGTGGGAGTGAGAAGTTTTCCCAGTAAAAAGTACCCTATGTGTTATTCTGATGTATAACCTATATTGCTGTAAAGTTTTATCCAAATCCGTCCAGTAGTTTTTTCGTGAAAGAGTAACAAACATCCATACATCCATACTTACAAACTTTCGCCTTTATAATATTAATAGGATTTAGAAAATGTTGGTAATAGGTAGCATAAAACAGACGAATTCATATTGAAACGTACTGTACATACACGTTGAGAGAACTCTGACGAAGTAGGTCAACGGTGTATTCGTGTGCAATATTGCTCTGTGGTTTTACGAAAATTGCTTTTTTAATGGTGATACGAACGACGTGAATATATTTGATATACATCAAGGGATTACTATTCTTATTTGCAATTCTGTCAGTTAATTTCAAATACTGAAATAGCTTCAAATGACGAATTATCGCGTTTTAACTGAAAAGCATAAGTCACGCTCACTCTACAAATCTCGAATAAAGATTTCAGTAGAAAATTGCTTGCTCACAAATAAAGAATATGTAGGGTAGTATCGCTCATCAACAGACGACGCAGACCAATTTATGAATCTGAAGCATAAAAAAACTTGTAAAAGACAAAAAGCATACATCAATTGGTTTGCACAATCATGTAATGATTATCTAGAAAATATAACCTTGTAGATTGTTAATAAAAGTCATATCTATATTACGCGATAACACTACGTACTCATACCTGCTGCGACGTCTGTAACAGAGTATCTTCTAAGTTCTCTCGATTCCCTGCCTAATAAATATCTGATCTTAAGAACGATAAAAAGATATTCTTTAATTTAATTCATAAACTAAGAATCATATAGTTGGACTAGAAAAGATCTAGAAAGGCCTTGTTCTTCTCAATATTTTCTCATCTAAGTTTTACTTTGCAACGTCACTCGATAGAATGTTAGATAGGAGATGAATTGTGAAATTTAAAATACTGCCAGCGATGCTCTTTGAGCAGTACTGCAGTATGCGCTACTTTTTCTAATTTAATTCTGTTATACTGCTGAGTATATAAGGACTCAAAGGCGGTAATTTGCGAGGGAGCTCTTTGGGCTACTCTCGCACAGTTATTGGCCGCAAAATTGATTAAAATTCCGGCCGCGTAAAAAAGTCTTATCTACTTTTTTTATTACATTGCGTCCTAAGAGTTTGGGTTCTCATTTTTTTTAAATCCTTGTCCATTTTCTTGATTCCGTTGAGTGGTACAACTAAACTTTTTTGTTTATTTTGCCCTCCTTTAAGACTTCTTTTAAAATATTAAGCTTCTATTTCATAATGATCTACTCAGTTTACAAGCCTATTACCTCTACATAGTTCAATATAGGTGTCTAACGAGTTGTTAATTGGAGGAACAATAGTTAATTATATAAATTTGTTAACATCTAACTAGTTTACGCTAGATTGGCATCATAGCATAATTAGTGAGAGCTTAATTATCAAAGGGAAATAATTTGATACATATATGATTCCTTAAGGCAGGAGGGAATAATTAGTCACCTTAATATATCCCCCTTTCAATTTACGTTACAATTCAAAATCAATGTCGTCGTTTAATTTAGAACTACCCTACATCCCAAGCGTCACATCACGGATGCAGTATCCATCAAAGTAATTGCGCAGTTTCATTAAAAATCCCCGCACATCCTTTAAGATTTGCATAAAAAGGTCTGCAGGCATCGCGTGCTCTAGTTAAGTTATACGGGACATAAGTTAAATACCTTTGATATTAAGTAATTTAATGAAAGTAGTTTCCTTTTTATATTTAGGTTATTTATCCACTTTGTATTTATATAAAACGCATTAATTATTAATAACGACATGTTTAAGAAGTACCTAAGACTTTTTATTAGAATTGACTTTTTAGTAAAAGTTTCCAGTCTACGCATTAAATTTATATCTATAAAATTTTTAAAGTGCTGTTTAATATGACCTATTAGCTAAAAAATATATTTATTTCGTCTGATTTTGCAGGCGTCACATTTGCTCAATCTAGGTATAATTTTAAATGTCAATCACAGTTTTGATATCTAAATAAAAAATTTGGGCAACGTTGAAGGAGTAGGATGATTCTTAAATAAACAACTTGATTCAAATATAGGTAGCAATTGTGTTCCGCAGACTAAACTACAGTCGGGAGACCTTCTTTAAACCTTTTGAAATCGAAGAAATTCATGTTCTGTCTGTAATGTTCTGTCCTATTCCATGACATTAAAAATACGTAAGTATAAATAAGACCAGAAACGACTACGGAATAGTTCGCGATATATTTTATTTTGAATTTAAGAGTGCAGATTCATGTACTGATAGAAACAGGCTAGCTAATGCAACTTCACCCACATCTAAATTATTCTGCGCTACGCCTTTGGTGCCAACACCGTACAATTTTAGAGCTTCATTGACAATTTAGTTAAATCTCCATTAATTATTCGAAGTTAGGAGGAGTGCTAGATTCGAGGAGCAGAGTGGCGTATCAATATAACATAATTTAGGTCTAAATAAGGTAATCAAATAGGGAATAAGCAATGAACCACCAACGGTCCCAGTGCGGTATTGTGAGTGCAGGTGAGACCGACGGCTTAACGTACCTTCTGAAGCACGGAGTAACTCTCGATAAAAAAGTTTTGCCCACCTATTCTAAGACTGGCCTTTGTGAAGGTTGCTTAATAACGACATCGCAGACTGAGTGCACTACCCACTGTGTCATTGAGCTCGAATTATAGCTCTTTGTTATTATTATTAACAGGGCACTACTTTGAGGTTTTTAAAACGTATATGATTAACTTTGCATTTGTATTTGTATTTTCCAGTACAACATTGTGAATGCAAATTTGATCATACCTTTATAATATTTAGAACAGATTTTCATCTTTATCGAAAGTTTAAATATTTGTAATAATATTTCTTTTGGCTGTTTGGGTGGATTGCCTGAACATTGATGAAAATGCGCTCTGTAATAGAAAAAAATAACAAAAGTGCTTGAAAAATTAGTCTGTTCTGTTAGGTTCTGAGTAGCTTAGTGGTAAGAGCAGTCGCCCGGATTACGAAAGGTCATGGGTTCAAGTCCCATCTCAAAGTGCCAGAGATAAAGTAGTTTTAAGCATTTTTCATTAAGAATAAAGATAATTTCCAAACATTTAGCTACGTTATTCAAAAGTTTACCTAAAAATTATCTAACCACTACACTTTGATTATAAACTTGTTATAGTAACGCTTACATTACTTTTATAATGAAATAGCTCATGTATGTCAGTTATAATAAGTTAGTTAGTTAGCCCGATCGTTATTAAGTTTTTGAATAGTTCATATTTTAATTAAGACAGCTGATATTATCTCATACGCTGCAATTAATACTTTGTTGACCAATATTTAACGTTACTTACATAATTAATATGTTTTTTTATTTTTATATTAGATACTGGTGATCGTGATCAGTGATTAAATCTACCAATGAATCTTTAACTTTCCACTTAGGCTAACATAATCACTCAGCGACTAAGGCCTCTAAATAAAGATTATTAAAAAAAACTTTCCACTTTTCACCATAAACGGTAGTTAAAGCGGGGCTTACCGCCTGATCCCAAAATCATTAACTTTCAACTGAATTTGTACAAAGAAATACCATCCAAATAAGTTGTAATTCAAAATGCGAAAATTAGATACTTCTATGTAATTCATAGCAACATATGTTTTCCTTTATTTAATAATACTTTTTGGAGAAACATAATCATAATAACGCTTTAATTTGAAAATTTCAAATCCCTTTCCCAAAAAAAGACATATTTCCCGCATCATTCACCTTTTTCAAGGTTCCATACTCAACATGAAACATTTATAGTTTGTCATATTCGTCTGTCTCTCTGTCTCTCCGTCAAAGATTTAGCTCAAAAACTATTGTCACTGAAAAGTTGTAATTTGGTACTTGTGCCAAATAACAAGAATGTTAATCACACCGATAAAGTGGTAAAATAAAATCATTAAAAAAAATTACGTGTAATAATTTATCGGGATACCATTGGATAGGTATTTCAAAAAATTTGGAGTGCAGCAAACCCCTTTTTTCCCAAGACCCTTTTTCGATTTAGTAAACCGTTCGTGAATTATTAAACTTTAAAGAACCGATTTTACTTAGAGTTACGTGCCCGCCCCCCTTTACCAACTAAACAGTTGTTTTAAAAAATTCAAACGTTACGGCAGTAATACCTTAAACTTATAAGAAGTTAAAAAGGAAACCTCTCATGCGTAAGTAGCCTTTTCAAGTTTACGAGTACTAATCGATCAAATGTATATTACTGTAATATTTCGAACAACTCTGTCTGGGTGTTGTGGTACCTTCGTTGTTTCAGATTTCCATAATACAAGCGCTAAAAACTATTTGGACGACCTCCGTAGCCGAGTGGTTCGTACGCCGGTATCAAGGTGTCGCCATCTCGGAGGTTTCGAAGATTCGATTCCCAGTCGGGTCAATGTAGAAAATGAACTTTTCTATATTATCTCGGGTCTGGGTATTGTGACACCTTTGTTATTGCAAATACATAATACGGAGATCTAAGCAATGTATGTGATGTTATCTAATATTAATTAAATCAATAAAAAA